AATAAATAAACAAACACACAAACAAATAAATACCGTCTGCCGTCGTTGAAATATTTGTTCAGAATTTTTTTTAACCTCAAAAACAGGTAAAAATACTGTATGATGTACTATGGGGAGAAGTGTATTCTGTGCATTTTTTCTTAAATTCTGGGATCTCTACCCCAACTCACTTGCAAGTTGAATTATGAATACCGGTGGAAAAGTGCGTTTTGGCAAAAATTGATACGGAAACATTGGTTCCAGTGTAATAAAAACTATTTGCAAAGGAAAAAAGCTACAGATCGAATAATTGCTTGCAAGAACATGGAGAATGTTAATTTGAAAAAGTATATTTATCACTAAACTCTAGAAAATGTGTACAGATACTGAAGTTACATTTATGTCCAGAAGTAAAACAAGGGGCCATCTCAGCATTCGCTCAAAGAATCAGGGAAACTGGACGAAAACCCTGGTCGAGATGGGAGAATCATTTACGCTTGGGATCGTCATCTCGATGAATTTTATTACGCGAGACATAACATGTATTCGTACACGACGTATTCAACTTATAAGAGGTGAGTGCAAACAACGAACGCGGGGCGTGGCACGCTCAGTGCTCAGTGGCCTGAGCGTCTCCCTGAGCCTCTGAGCTCTCTCTCAGACCTGCTTAAGAAGTTCAAGGCCGCTTGAAGAAAGGGGGGGTGTACGCATTACACACGTTTGAAAGAGAAGGCACACCAGGCAGTGTTCGGCCCATATTTCGTTTCTCAGCTGCTTGAATATCATTAACATACATTAAAATCCCTCCCTACAAAATACGCTAAGGAAGGATGACGGTTTTTTTACGGTTTCTAACTCCATTGATACAAAAACCCGTTAGTATGGTACATCCGGATAGGGAATAACAACAAAGGAACATATTTTACATATTGGGAAAAAACTTAGAATTTTGTACATTAGTATACTAACATGTAACTCTTACCGTGCTGGATACTCGGATTGACATGAAATATTACCAGCTTATTCAACACCGTCTAAAATCCATGAAAGCAAATTTTGAGAGCTATGAAGCGCTCAAAGTACAGTTTTTGCGACCATTAGTATTCGGACCTTTCGTGACCTCACTGCCTGCCGCTGCCGGCCCTGCGGCCGTTACAACGCCGCATCGACCATCTGCCAACTATCTGTCGTTTAGGGTTACAATTACCCGGGAGGCCATATAGGTTGATGTGAAATCATGTATTGCAACAGGTTCACAAAGACGGGAAGGTCCAACAAACTATCCAATAATAATTTAATTACGGATTATTGTAAAAGAAAGTTATCTGAAAATATCTTTTTTATATAAGAATATAATTTCAGGGTTACAATATGGTTTCCATGTTCAGAATAAAAAAAATGAATTAATAAATAAAATATGACAGAAAAAATAAATGAATTTAAAATAAATAGATATATCAATTTCATTTTTGCAAGGGAAACTTTTTTGACCTTAATGGTAACTAGAAAAAAATCAAATCTTAGTGTGAAGACGCGAATTGCACCGTATATATGTAAGTTTATTTTTCTTCGCAATAATATTGATCTAAATTAGGAGATAATAACTTCGGGCGGATAATTGAAAATGTGTGTCACTGTGCTCTTCTAAATATAATTCGATTTAAATAGAGTAACTTCTGACTGATCATCTGGAGGCGGTTATCCAATCGAGAGCTTCGTTACGACTGAATTGTTTAGTATTGCACCTCCCGGTCACAGCCCGCGATCGGTGACATTTGTAAAATGTTTCCTTGCAGAATGTCCAGAGCTACCTTCTGTCGGGTCTTGGAACTCTTGTCTCCAAATATGTTTCCTCCTGATCTCCTACAGGGGGCACTAGTGCACAAGATTTGTTCCATGATACGACGTTGGTCTTTGTAAATTTCTTTCTATAGTCTTAAAGTTAACTATAAATGAATATTTTATGTTCCTATTTAAAATGTTACCTTTAATGGCTTGTTATATGTGACTGAAATTTTAAAAATGTGAAAAAACCGGTTTTTTGAATATTAAATTTATTCATAGTCTCCAGTTCTCTTGCCATGACCCCTCCACTTTCCATTCAAGAATTTTACGCCCCCCTCAAAATTGTCTCTGGAGCCGCCACTGCTTTGTTTTATTTATTTTTTTACACGGGTGTTTTTATTAATAAACACAGATGTTTAGAATGTATATACACGCATAGAATCGGGTCCATGGTAAGGGTCCATACAAGGGTAAGTCAATAAATATGGGAAGTCGTAAACGCCAGTTTATCTTATATCATGTTAATATTACGCATGCATATTTTACCGGCACAGAGCAGCCTATGTATGCTTGTCGTATAGCTTGTGGGTCATTGCGGTGGCAGGCACGGTCAGTCCGTGGTAGCCAGGGCAAGATGGCAGATGTGCTGCAGGGGTATACATGAGTAGAACAATGTGCGAAGGTGCGATTTGGGGGGGGGGGGGCAAAGGATGACCCACAGTAAGACACACCGATAAATGCGTCCAGTGGAATGTGACATGTGCCTAAAGCGGAAAGCAAACAGCCACTGGTCTCCTGACAAAGGGGGTTGATTCTTCTGCGTTGACAATGCCCGCCCTCACACAGGAAGACTAACGCAGGAGCTGTTACGCACATTTCATCGGCAACGCTTGCAACACCCTACAGTCCCGATCAAGGCCCCGGTGACTTTCATCTGTACAGGCTCTACAATCTCATTTGGGTGACCGACGTTTTGAAAATGTTGGCGTAATTGCGGAGGTTACACGTTGGATGAGTCAGCAAACAAAAAGCTTCTTTGTTGCCGGCTTTCGAAGACTTGTAAAGAGATGGGATAAGTGTCTGATTGTACAGGGTAAATATGAAGAATAGTGAAATAAATTTAGAGAAGTTACGTTGATTCTTATTGCCTCTGCGTTTTGTGACTCATTTATTGACTCATGTGCGGCTGACGCACGGTTGAGCCATGGAAAGCCTCTCTCTTTCCATGGTCTGCCCATGGAAAGGGATCCATCCATTGTCTGACCGTTTCATAATCACCAAATCTTCTTCCATTCTTCTGTGAGTTAAAACTTGATTTTCAATATGAAGGAAGTTTCACTATCAAACCAATAATGTACGAATAGTAAACGAGGAATATTCGCATGTAAGTCATTCCGTAAGCAGGAATGTCGTTATTTTATTAACAACCTACCTGACCATTATTAGATCAGAAAATAAATAAAACAGTTGAAGTTTGATCATGTGAAAAGGAGTTGATTACTTTGTTGTTAGACCGTTAAATTCTTGAAAAAAGCTAAACGGTCTTAAGAGCTAGTGTCATTTTCCATTATTTTCATGAAAGTCCGTTTTTATTTTAATTTCACCTTCTCGTATAGGAACGTATATACGAAGCAACACCTAGTATAGAGAAAATTTTGAAATTCTGCGAATATAAGATTTCGAACTTTCAACGAAAATAAACGTTTTGGAGTCCCCTGATACCGAAAAAGTGTTTTTCAAATCCGTCCGTCCATCCGTCTGCCCGTGAACAATACTAGCGCCCTTACTATTTTTTTGCAAAATGAACATACTCCGGTCGTTCTGGATCGCCTCAAGGTTCTAGGATTTGGAAAAATATCTTCAAATTTTGAGGGTACTTTACATGAAGCCCCTAGGACATTTTCTAAAAACTTGACTCCAATTTTCTAATTTTTTTGTACGAATGGAGAGAAAAGCACTTGGTCCGATAAGTCCGATTTTTATTGTAAAATAAATTTTCGAAAATTTCAGAAGTTTGATTTTCTAAAATTTAGTTCGGCGTCTTTCTGTAACTACAATGTTGAAGATAGTGATTATTTTTTCAAACGAAATTCATTCTCCATAATTAGTTATTTACTTCATAGATGTCATATACATGTTTTTGAAAATCAAAATTTAATTTTCGCGCAATTTTGAGTAAAATTCGAGCAATAAAAATGAATATTAAAAATAAGATTTTCTCAAAAAAGCTCTAAATTATTTTTCTACGGATAATGCTAAATACTCTGTATATGGAGACATTAAAGCAATTTTGTTGAATGCTTTAGGTTTTCCAAAAATTACACAAATATGTTTTTTTAATATTTCTCTCGTCATGATTATTTAAGTACATTACAGGCCACTTGTATCTTGGATTTATGAATACAAATGCTTCAAATCATTTCTGGTAACGTTCCTCGAAAACTCGAAAGTTTTGGGAGAAAATAAGCTTCAAAATGGGCATGTTCAGATAAGCTCAAATAGCTTTTTCTTAAACACGGCTTCAAATGTTTCAATGGAAATGCACATATAAGACCAGATATGCAATGCACATATATGACCCTTCTATAAAATTCTTAAAGACGTATTTCAATTATACTACTAGGGATTTGAAAAATTCAGCAAAAAGTGAAAAAATGTCTTTCAGGTGTCAGTGGATTGCAGCTGAGAAGAGTGGGGCAAACCAGCAAAAATTAGCTAGATTGAGGGGATAAGGAAAGTATCTAGTACGAGAAAGTCTGTGCTATTCTTTAGCATCACTAGTTCATTTATGATTACTAAATAGTTGCTTACACGAGATAAGTATACTTATTCATATATGAAATGTTTGGAAAACGACATTTTGCTGATGGATGTTTTATATTGCCTAAAAAGGTATGAATGCAGAAAAATGTTATACATGAAATAGTTATTGCTTTAGTTATAGTGTGTTAAGTATGATTATTACATATTTGCGATGGGACGGAGTAGGTCGGGATGGGTCGGGGTGAGTGAAACTTATTGTGAATGATTTATGTGTTAGGCTGAAACTGTGACAGATGGATGCATTTTTGTAGGGAACTGTTTTATTATGGTGGAGAAAGCGTAACTTCGGCTGACGAAGGAATAATTATTTTCACTGATTAAAGTTCGGCAAAAAGAAGTAGTATTGAAGTAAAAGAATAGTGAGAAATAGAAGGAACTGAATGTGTGTCAATATTTTTTCCAAGTTTGTTGAAAATACAGAAAAGGAGCTTTTACACAACAGAAAAACTTTAGACAAGCCGGGATCCACTGTGTGATCTCGCATTTTTGGAGATATCCTAAGTGGTTAACGGCTCCATTCCGTCAGCCATTATTTCTCAAGGATCCTAAAACGCGAACTCGAATTCAATTAAAAGCACTTTATTGATATTTATATTTTCATTACCTCGGTGTGGGATCAAATATCAATTTCATTTTTTTTAATAAATACGTCAATGATAACAAATGAAAAAGAATAAGTTCTACTCTGTGGCAACTGATTCAAAGTACGGGAATAATACATAAAATTACACAAACATAATATGAGTACATGTATTTTATTTTTGGGGTTAGATTTTTTAATTATATTTAGTTCTAAAGTGAGTGAAGTTTGGAGGCGAGAATCTTATTTTAAAAAAAAAACAATATATAAACGTTTTTAGTGAGAAAGTGAGTGAGGACAACAGGAAGTGGGAGCAAGACAGAAAGAGGAATTTACATTCAAGTTCTATTTTGACAATTAAAACTGCATAATTCCTGTAATATAAACACGACATTCCCCATTTTCTTGTGTGCTATTTACATAATTTTAATAGTTATCAATTTCATTGCTCATCTGCAATTGCAATGATACTGAAGTAAGAAGCAACCGTACCGTGATGTGGTAAGTTGTTACTATTTTTTTTTAATTCTTACGTCTTCGCTATCGCAACGCGTCTCTAAATCCCTCTTGAGCATTGAGCTCCTGGTATGGACTAATACTCCGTTATTATTTTGTCAATTCTCGTCTCGTCACGACGCAGTCAGTCTTTTATCCCTTTGGCCTTGAACTTGGCGCCGTTAGATCCCGGGGTTCCTAGCCGATCACCCGTTCAGGAACTTACGGTGCCTCGAATTCACTTAACCTCCATGACTTCACGGAGTGTAGTTAAGGAATTCGACTAGCGACGCAGGTATTTTCAAGAATATGAAAAGAAAATATAACAATACAATATCTTGTGTTCGTGAATCGCACTCAGTCTCTCACTTTAATAACAGGTCACCCTATTATTTCGTAATTGGTCTGGAATTCTTTACTAACAATACATTGAAACGCGAAAGGTAAGTACATGCATAACATTCAAAGTGGAATATTTTATCAAGTTGAATGTTTATGAAAATTTTTATGTTCGCAAGTTTGTTCAAAATGTCTATAAAGTCCACATATTCGGTCATCTACGAAATTATTTGTTTTTAGGTTTCTTATCTGTTCTGAAAGAGTTTGAGGCGCTGCGGCTACATATCATTTGACATTCTAGTGTTAAAGAACTTAAGAGGGTCACTTTCTCTTTATGTGGTGATAGTACTACGGTGGGCCGGAATACTTCACTTGACCAGCAGTAACTTGAGTGTTTAATCATGAAAAGGGTTATTCTACAAGAGAAGCTGGCAAAATGTTCAATCTGCCTTTAAATATAGCCCATGACACCGCAAGGCGATACGTACGAGAGCATAGAATAGAAAGCGTGCCGCCAATGGGTCGTCTACAGAGTCTTACTAGAAAAGAGAGAGAGATGCCTAATTGATGAATCTGAGCAACTGGCTTCTCTACAACTGCCCCAAGGTCTTGGAATCACCTCCGCAGTCTCCAAACCTTAACCCAATCGATTATTGGTCCTGAAATCCCGACTACAAAAAATAAAATTCCTACAAGAGAGGAATTGACGAGGAGATCGGCAGAAGAAAGTGTATGTCAGTTCGTACATACAAAAAAATAACGATAAAATTTTAAGAAGAGTGACAAATATTAAAATGGTCCTAATATTTTGGTTTATTTGTTTGTTGTTGTTTTTGGTTTTGTTCGGTTCACGTAACCATGATTTTTGTTTCTATTTGCTCAAACTTATTTGTACAATATATATTTGTACATATATATTTGTACAATAATACACTTTTGCTTTGGGCATCAATTGTGATTCTTTAACCTTTCTATCATCTGAATAATATAGGAAAATTCAAGTTGATAATGAGGCCGAATATTAAAGTGAGCAACTATTGTTAAGAAATTTTCTGACTTCCTATTCCTGAAGGATATGTACATTATCTCAACAATTCACACGAGAACAAAGATTTCTGCAGTTCGTAACTTTAATACAAAATCGTTATACAATTTTTAAAAATAAGTGTCTTCTATGTAACATTCTTACCCAAAATTCAGACGAATTTTTAAGAGCTCCACGCGGTGGAGGACTATTAAAAGGACGGTCTAGTATTCCGCTTTGAACATTTAACACAAGGTTGTACATATATTCATTTCGTTCTCGGATTTCTTCCAACGTTCTGCTGCATCCTGATAGTTTTCGTATCCATTTTAGAGCCAATTTTTGATCTACAAAATAGTTTTGAAAGAGCACTTTATGCTAGAGAATGGACATTTTGCATATAAGCATTAGGAAGCATACCTCCTTTTTCCAGGTTACTTATCATCATCTTCACCAAAAACATATTGTAGTTACAATCATAGTTCAAATTTTCTATCTCAGTCATCTTGAAACTTGAACTTAAAATTTTGACGATATAACGTGTGCGTTAAAATAAAAACAATGGAAGAAATGCAGAGAAAATGCAATAAAATAATATAGGAGGTATTGGTACTGAGCGAAAACATTCGAGAGTGTGAAACTTACTCACAATGTAATATGGGTAGTCTTCAAGCCAAAAAATTCACACAGATTGCTGTGACTCCTCGTATTTCAGAAACAGATCGTTTATGACTCCTGAGAGACCGTTGCGCCTAAAAATAAAAAGGGAAAAAAGAACTAATAAAAGCAAATAACAATAGTAGGTTAGCTACAAACAGTACTATCTGGGTTTTCCCTTGCTTACTAAATTTAAAATTGAATTGAAACGTCAGTTTTAAAGTCACAGAATACATATCTATTGCGTTTTATTATATGTGTATCATAAGTTCATAACACACCAATTGTCTTTTACATTCATTAAGACCCCTATATTTCTTTGTATAAAATTATCTTTGTTAGAAGGTAAGACTTAAACTTACTCCTCTCTGAGTTGTTTCAATTTCTTCTCAAGACGAAGATTATTCTGATGCAATAGTTTACCGGCTTTTGCTCGCCGAGTATGGTTCATATATTTAGAACATCGTAAATCTTCGACTGCTTTTAGCATCTCGTCGTTCTCGGTCTGCAAATGACATGGCAAATGAATCGTTGTAAAATAGAGTAGGTTCCCGTCACTTATTCACTGCAGGTTTTAAGTGACTCTTAAGGAAAAAAAGCGATTTTCCAGCAGTCAATTACTTCCTCTAAAACGTTGTATAGTGAGAATCCACGTTTTGTGTAGGTCCTTGGTAAAATTGGTTTTCAGCAAATCATCTATACGTCAACAACGCTAGCAGCTAAACCGTGAATAGCATTTTCCCCAAAGTAGATATTCCTCAATCAAACTGGCTGAAGTCGCGGACACTTGAATTTGAAATGGATATTTTAATTTTGGGGATTTCTTTACCTCAAAAACAGATTCAACTTTTTCTCAGAAATGTCACCGATTTTTTGAATTAAATTTTGTTTATCCAATGTACAATGGGTCTGCGCTTATAAAAATGGCGCAGGTCCGATTTTCATTGAATTCTCTTAGTTTGGGGAAATTGCAAATGTTTAAGACATTTTCAGCGTCTTCCTACAATATTGAAGACAGATTTTTCTTGTGAATGAAATCGGATCTTTAAATCTTTCGCGTAATTTTGCCTCAAAGGCAATTTTGAAATAAGATTTTCTCCGAAAGACAGCAAATTTTTCTTTGGGTGCTAAATGGACCTCGTACGTTCATAATTTTTTAAATATCTCGTCGCTAAATATCTTGTTAAAATTTACATTCCGGACGTTTCTATACTTAAAAGCATTTTTGAATAAAAAAAACAAAGTTTCTTGAAAACTTAAAACTTTTTAGTGGAAATGAGCTCAAAATAGGACAAATTCAGAAATGCTCCGGCATTTTTTCACAAACGGCTCCAAATATTTCAAAGGAAATTAGCGTATATTACCGAAAAATAGGGGAAATGGTTAAAAATGTATTTCAGGTGCCGATCGATAATAGTAGGGAAGAGGGTAGGGCAATACCGCAAAGCTGAACGAGAATCAAGATGTTATAAAACGAGTGCTATTCTGTAGCACCATTACTTTTAGTTTGTCATGAAATCAGTGCAGAAATAAGTCGAAACGTTTTACAGCAACGTTACCATCGGCCTTGAAATTCAATATGCTTTATGAGAAACTAATGATTGACAATACCAGCTGTAGTTTAAATTGTTCGCTAAAAATAGTAACACGGCGCCGTTAGTAACACCCATCTTATATATCCTGAGATCATAATACCACTTCTCTGGTTATCATTCAAGCTCATGTAGCAAATTTCAATGGATTTGCAACAAAGTTGACATATTTGAATTAGAACTATTCTCAAGTTATTTGCTTGCATTTCCAAAATAGTTTGTGCATGTGGTTTAGTTTTATAGGAAGTAATTAGCAGTTTTCTTGAAATCAAAGCTGAAAGTCCTTGATAAAAATTGAATTACCAAATTTTAATTTCCCTTTTTTGACAAAAAAAAATCGAAGAGGAATTACTGGAGATGGCAATTTAAAGCAAAAATGATAAACATGCAAAAAATAGAAACTGAGAATAAAGAAAAAAACAGCTCTGCTCGTACATTCACTCCATGGCTCATTCACTCATAGTAGAAAATGGAGTTCTTTAGATGGCATGGCTTTAAACCACCCTTCGCCGAGGTTGGAATTTTCTAGCCCAGATCTCGAAAATTCGACAAAGCCGCATCATATCAAGCGAAACTGGAATTTCGAGCCGTGGCTCGAAGAAACCGCGGCTCAGACCTCGTCTTAGAAATCCACCCATAGTGTTTGTAGCTAATAAGTTCTAACATTTACGTGCTCATTTCAATATGATAAAAGTGTTTCTATGGAAACTTTTCAACTAGACACAGGAAAGATTGATCCCACGTTTTCACGGAACATATTTAAACAACAGAAAGACAAAAAACAGCAGACAAGAGGGACCGCAATTCCCAAGTGTTTTTGCAAATTAGGTTATTTCGAAAAGTCGTGTTACTGGAAATGCAACCCACGTCGCACGTGCTGCGCGAAGCGAACGCAGTGAATGGAGGACAATTACAGCTCGCGCAACACCGAGTTATCAGCCAGCGGATAATAAAGTGTCATGACTTTTATAAATTAATATCAAATTTCAATCCCGCTTTATTCCATTTGTTACAATTTACAAACACAGAATATTTTGATTGCCAATTGGAGAAATTTCCTTCAGATGAAGAAATATATGTTATTATTGTCAACATTCTTTTTAGTGATTAGCCCTCATGTAACTGCTGAATACTGACTGATGATGGCAAACTGGCAAAGCCATCAGGAGCCCACTACTGCTAAATATGTTATGACAACCATGTCTTCACCTGAACACCACCTAGAAGATGAAATGTTGATAAAAGGCTCGCAAAATTGTCAGCAAATTTAAGAAACAAAAATTCACATATCATCCCCAATAACAGTTCTAACAGCTCAATACAAAAGGAGTTTGCTCTTTCTATAACAATCAAATACGGGTGCCGAGACATGCAAATAGAGGTGATTAAGTTAGTAATGCCATTGGAAGCTCTGGCAGCTCTTGCCTAAGGCCAGATCATAACGACCATAAGTATTCAAAATAAGTATAAATGTGTATTGAACAAACTTTTCAATTTAAATGTTAAAACAATATAATGTATTTATATTAACATTTGAAATATACTCTTATACTTTGTTGAAAATAATTGTGAGGGCCCTAGGACATGCTTAGTCTTTTTATACTCTAATCCACTCCGGCTCATGCCCTCAAAGTGACAATTAAAACGAGGTGGGAGTCAACTCATTCAATAAAACATGTATGAACAATGGTCTTATGGTGTCTGATTTTTTGGCAGACATGTGGGTCAGGTTCCATCTCATTATTTTGAGAACCACCAACCTTCAGGGCAAGAGCTGCCACTGATTAAAAGTAGTACATAATATCCAATGCTTTATTACCAACATGGTAGTTAATGGTGACATCATACATAGAGGCATGCTAACCAGAGTGTTCAGTTATCAGCTCTACAGATTGAGAGAGAAAATGTCGGACATTATTAATCCTGAATTTTAGGGTATTTGTGAGAAATCTTTTTAATGTTATAAGTTTCTGGCAGGTAAATATGGTTGTTGCATTAATTAGTACCATCCTCCCTGTTCAATAGGAGTCAGCAATATTTCTTGCAAAGATTTCAAAGCTGTGTCAATTTCTCATTTATACTCCATAGTACTCACTTGAAGTTTTTTAGCTTCATCTTCTAAGAAAAGTAATTTTAGAAAACTTTCCTGGCGCCATGCATTGAAATCTCCTTCAGGTCCACAGTCACTACTCTGAAAATCAGAAATCTTCAGACGATACAATGGTGTCTTTAGAACACATGTTATTGACTACCTATGTTCTGAGTCCGTTGATGAAACTTATGAAAAATCTTTTTCTTGTCCTTGCTCTATTTGGAATTAAAATGTAGTTTCTTCATGTATGTGAGAAGAAATGGGAAGACAATTTTGAAAGGAAACATGTGAGCATTATTTTATGAATATCATCCACATCGAAGAGGACCTTCCTATTTTATTTAATGGCCTAGAAGTAGCAAGGATTTCAAAGGGTGAATCTCTAAAACCATACACATTTCATTTTACAAAAAAGTCACTAAGTTACCAAAACAAAGGAGTTTTTAATATTATAAATAATATAAACTTTACCCCCCAAGTTTGCATCCTTATTTGAGAACCATATTTCCGTTTGTAATCTTCCCATGAGCAATTTGGCAGGATTTCCTTCAGAAAGTTCTTCACTCTGTTAGAACGATTTTTAATCATTCTTGTCCACTGTTCATATCTCTCTCGAAGCGAGATTTCTTCTTGGTCAAGCAAGTGTGATATGTCTTCATGCTGATTGTCAAACACATTTTTTACAAAGGCATTGAAAATACTTAATTCATCACACAATACATCCTTGAAAGTGCAACCTCCATCCCCTGTCTGTGATGCCACATTTGCCATAAATTCATCCATGCTAACATTGTCTGTTAGCACTTTCAATACATCATCACCTTTTCCTCGTCCTACATTATTTTCATCTGCAGTTGACGACTCTATCTGAGGCATGCCTGAAGATATCTGTGGTTTTGTGGAGGACTGATATAGGACATTTTTGTACTTTCGGTCATAAAGTTGTTCTGAACTTTCATTGAAGTCATAACCTGACTGTATATCTAAATCATTACTGAACTGCATGGGATCCATATTTAATAATCACTCACTTTTAGTCAATACAAAATATATTTTCTAAAAGAATATAAATGTTCAATTTTGAAAAATAGAAGTGAATTAAAGGTGTTTCCTAGGATATAATTTTCCCAACTATTACAAAGTAACAATGAAGTAATCAAACACTTATTTCACAAATGCTGTAGTTTTTTCTAAGAAACTCAAATAATACATTGATTTAACTTTTTCAATATTTATTTAGCATGTCCAGAAATTAAGGCATATTATATATATATACGAGTTGAGAAATTCAAAGAAAACTCATTGGTTTAGATTTCATAGTGTATTTCACAAAATAAATAACAAAATCCAATTTGTTCTGAGAGTATTAATTGAAAAAAGATAAAAGAGATGGTCATTTTTTAAAAAATTGAATAATACTGTACAGTAACAATTTTTACAATGTTTGTTATAATCAATAAATACAGTTTGAAAGTAAATAACACATCCTAATTACGTTAAGATATTAGGTCACATTTACACAAGAAGTTAATAAAAATTTAATTAATTAATTAAAGTATTAAATAATACAACTACGCATCAAATATTGACAATAATGTCAGCACTTTCTACTTTTCTCATACAGACTCCTGTTTTTACACATTTTTCAAAATTTTCAACATTCATTACATTAGCTTTGTAAGCAGCAAACACCATCAAATACGAGAAAACAAGTTTTGTTGCCTAGTAGAATTCGATGCAATTCTTGGATTTTTCACAAACACATATAATGTGAATCATGAAATCTTTCTAAAATAAAAACAATAGCACCATGTGAACTAATGATATTGATTAAGTGAGCATCACTGGTAAACATGAATGTTTGCCTTTACATTATTATTAAAAGCTCCTACAATCTTTCAATTTACATTCTTAGTGGATTATAAAGGACAGTTTAACAGCTGAAAATCTATAACAAAATAATGTGCATAGGTCATATCAATTATCCCACATTACAATCCAGCACTCTACTGAAGGCACTCAAATGTCAATACTCTTACTGCCATAACACTGTTGCTGGTCACAATTCTGTTGTCATCTCAGTTTTGCAAATTCATAAGATTGGATTCATTATCAGATTACCAATTCAAAAGTACTTCTCTCCTAAACGCCACATGCATTTTTTACTGTTCTTTGATGAAAAAATAAAATAAAATCAAAACCAAGATGAAATTAGACTTCTATGTGTATTTTTTAGTACATAACCCGAAACTGCAGTTAGTACCGGAAAATAATATACTTGTAAATGTTTATTACTCTGATTCCTATTCATGAGGTTATAAATAAAAGTTCTGTCTGTTCTTACTTTTCTAACAGGCATTATTGGCCAATAAACAAACAAATCAAAAATAAAAACATTATTATTAAAAATGAGAAATTTTGACATCATTTTGGGTGTCTGTTGCACTCATCATTGTGTACTTGAAATTAGAAACCATTCAAGCTTTAAGAAGTTGTTAAAATTATAATTTTAAAATTGGATTTATGAACATGACATGTGATTTGCCTGAAGTGTACAGATATAAACAAATGGAAACATTTCAATATTAATTAAATGTATTTGTAATATAAATACAGCTGATTGATTGTCCTATGTAAATATTAACTTATAACATTTGTTGAACGACTATCAACCTTCGAGCATTCATTGCTGGGCATCTCCTCTTTGGAAGGAGAAAGGGAGGAAAAACCTTAAATTACAGATCTCTGCCCCTGATTTCCCATACAAGAGGTATAGTATACAATTTTGTACACAGAACAATTTCATTATCTGAATATCAAACTTGTGCTATGAATGTGGTACATAAAATTGAGAGTGTAGACTATAATTTGAAATACGTAGGTCAACCAAGCAAAAAGTAAGAACTAGATTATATGAACATAAAAACATCTGCGAGCTTCCTGAGAAACAAAATTCTATATCACCAAGTTCACCTCTCACATCATATAGATATTGAAAACACTAAAATTATAGATACTGAGCCAGGACCACACCTAGGTTAATATCAGAAAGTCTTAAATTAAAAATGAGAAATACCAAGAACACCATGATTGGCAACACAAGAATGATCAATATTTAGGACCATATCATATTTGCATTGAAATATAATTCAATTAGACAAGAAAACATGTCCCCCCTCCCTCCACTATAGACTGGTGATGTAAACATTGCCCTGCTCTGCTTACCATCATTGACACTCAGGAGGGATGCGCTACATATGTGGTTTAAGCATAAAAGGGAACATCTATATATTGAGTACAGAGCTGCCTGGCCATGATTGCTTGAAGGTTGACACTTGTTTAACAAATATTTCAAGTTAATACTTCTATAGAACATATCAATATTTATAAATCAATCAAGCTGTATTTACATTACCTGATGATGGGTGGAATAGATGACTGAAACATTGTAAAAATTTCTTATTTTTAATAATAATGTTTTTATTTTTCATGTGTTTATGTTTATTGACCCTTAATTAAATTCAAGTAATAGTGTTGTAACTAAAATAAATTCTAGTAATTAAATATATAGTATATATAATATATTCTAGTAGTAGTGTTGTGAGTGATATGATCAGTAGTCTGTGAAGGGCCTCTGCATTTTGTAGGCATGCCTTAAATTACATATTGTATGTATTTTAGTGTTCTTTATGGTATTTTATTATTGTATTAGATATATACTAAGTGTGAAGGATTTGCCACTGGGTTTAATGCCCAAAGAAAATTAAATAAATTAATTATCTAATTAATGGCTGTTGAAAAAGTAAGAACACAACACAAATTAATAAATAATATAATATACACACAACAGGAAAAACAACTTTTAAGACAAATCGAAGAATATATTTTAACTCAAAAAATTATAAGCTAGGAAGTAAAAACTAGTAGTGCATATTGGAATAAATCCATCAGACATTATGTATTTCAACAGATCTCATTCCATATTCTGTGGTCGATGTAAATGCACTTGAGATAATTAACCTTAAATAAATATTATAAACTTAAAAATATTTACTCATTGTTTCACTTTGGATCTGAATGATGAAACAAGGCTGAATAGCAGGGGCCTGGAAATTGAAACAGTTCTTACATTTTAATACTCATGAAGGAGAAATAAAGTAAGTGGGCTTATATATACTTGGTAATTTTTCTTTACACTGAATTAAATCATGTAAGTAATGATAATTTGATCCTGAATTTGTGGATGAATGGAACTCACAATTGTTTTGTTTCCTCAGTATCAATGACTCCTAAATCCTCCATCAAAGCAGGTCGTCCGATTGGTTGATCTGGAAGGCCACTTTCTGCACAACAGTTAAATTATTAGATAAGTTAACACACTCTCATAACCCCGCAATACTATACTTGGCGAGAAGTACCTGCCACTAATACTGCTGAACTGTAATGATACCCACTCCAATCCAAGTATTCCCGTATTAATTCATTAACAGCCAACGTTGCTTTCGGCATCTGTGGTTTTACGCCACCTCTGTGCAAGGCGTTAAAAATTTCTGCTCTTATTTCTCCTTTCATTCTTCCTAATTGCCCACTTTTTTCTAAGGACTCTTTCAATGCTGTGAATCAAGAACCACATAGAATTTTCGAAAAAGTAAAACAGAAACAAAATCGTTTTACACCAACCTTCAAAAAGTTGCTCTTCACTAGCCATTTTTACCTACACCAACCAAACTATACTGTATTACGCGCCGTGACAATAACAATTGCCATCACAACACGGAACAGGAAATAAATGTTGAGGATGGTAAGTTATGTTCGGTTATGTTTTCCATGAAGACAGTAAGTAGATTAATTCTTCGTCGGAGACATGATGGGTATACGCAATTTGAAAAACGTCAACATCTAGTACTTGTTTTTTTTATTTCTTGGCACGCGAGACCTTATCATCACGATGGAATCTCTCTCGGTATTCCGCGTCTTTCTCGGTCCTGCAGCTAGATGTCGCACTGCTCGATAAGGTCATGCGACAGTCTAGCGGCACGACTGAGAAGACCGCGAAATACGAAATACGTGACCGTGGAGATATTCCATCTACTCACTGTATTCTGTATTATTCCATCGCGAACACGAGGCCTCACGCGCCAAGACATGAAAAGAAAAGAAAAGAAAAAAGAAAAGAAAAGAAAAGAAAAGAAAAGAAAAAAGAAGAAGAAGAAGAAGAAGTATACGGCTAAACTGAACTTTTGCGACATCATGCTGTGGACGAAATCAGCTTGGTTTTTCAAGGCCATATGCAATACAACTTGTATATATATTGGCTTTTTCCCGTAGACAAATAGTGCTCTGTGGCTTTTTCGGCTAATAACGACGCGCAGACAGGATTTCGGAACCTAACCAAAACCATCCCACTTTAGTGCATAGCGAGTGTAGATGGCGTTGACACAACACGAACATTGCTGCCATTGGTCGAAAAATACCGTGAAAGATTCCCTTATCTGCAGCGTAATCGCTGATGTTCATACTTTTTAACATATGGTGGAAATATGTACATTAGCGAGTTCTTCGGCGCATCGATTTTTGCTCGTTCTGCGCAACACCAGTTAGCGTCACGAACCACGTAACCACAGCACGGGCACTTCGTTTGAAAAGCCAGATCAGATCGCTGACATGTTCCATGAAGAGGAAGTAGTGTTGAGAAACATTTTGAAAGTGGTACAAATGACAGTTTTAAACGGTGACCAACCAAAAATTACACAATGCAATATTCATAAGAAAGGTTTCACATGTTTCATTTTCTTGTAACACGGCGATAAAGTATTTTGATATCTTGCTGCATTTAAAATTCCCGCTAATATTGTGACACAAAGTGGTGTCCGAAGCTCATTGGCTGAAGACGGATACGATACGCAAGAGCCCCCCCCCCCATCGGTATAGCGGATTAACTGCCGACTTTTTCTGTACATATCCCTGCTATCCCTACCTCCAGAGTTGAGCCTCCTTCTTACAGTTTTTTTCCATCAACGATTTCAACATTACCTACAGTTGTGCTGATTTAGTCTTCAGCTTCTTGTTTTGGTTTCCCCCATCGTGCTCAGCATCAGCTAGTTCGTTGTTAAAATCACAATATGACAACCACTGACTCGAACTTTAAATTCATTAAGGCTCTAAGGAGATTCACCTCTGGTGGTCAGCGTGTGTATAGAAACTATCGGCAGCTAAATCGGCCAATTTAGATACCAGCGACATTGCACGGTTAATAGAAGACCTTTCTAACCCTAAAAAGAACCTTTTCACCTTGATTAAATAAATGTAGAAAGCAATAACTCCATTCAATGTTGCTGAGAAGGAATTTGTTGTAAAAGGAAGAAATATAAACACATGGATTTTGCAAATGGTTTTCATATATGTTGTAAAACGATAAAAGGATACTGTACAGTTTTTGAGTAACAAAATAGAAGTAGACTTAATATACATTATACCTGGTAGAAACAACAGTAGATCATGGCAACAAAAGAAATTCTGCATGGTGATCATACACAGAAACAGCAATTCAACATACTATACTATGTATTAGGCAAACATTAAACAAATATGTCAATCAAAACATTTAAAAGTTACATATTAAATGTTTGTATTCAAAAGTTACCTTCTCTCAGAAAAGAATAAGTATTGCTGGAATGTACACCTACATATTTAGAAGGTAACAGGCACAAAAAATAACAAACAAAACTGTGGTAAAGGGTGCAAGTTGGCAAGATAAACTTTCTTCCCCAACACAACTGAAGATGTGTTGTAATGATTCAATTACTTTGTAGTTAGACAACTACTCAGGGATATTAATGGAGGAAAATATATAGCCAGCAATTTCAAATTTATAGAGAAAGATTCAATTCCACTGGTAATAAATAACCCAAACAGGCAAAGAATATACCCCACAGCTAGGCCGACTACTCAAAGAGGCTGTTAAGAGTTGAAAGTATAAAGTTTCATAGAAAAATTTATTCTGTTCACATATCCTTTCAATTAACTTCCCATATTTTGGAAAATTAGTTAATAAATGCTATTTCATATACAATATTATGAAGTGCCATTTTAGAAAATTCACACAATATAATGGAAGTAACTTTCATAACTTCTCTATGAAACTGGTAAAAATAAACTCATCAGTTTAAATAATTAAATGCCTTTGAGGTGAAGTTAGATAATACAAAACCATCTCCAAGTTCCATTTGTGCAGTTAGCAGTGCTTCCTGATCATGATACTATTTACAAATACTTCATGTACCCATTAACTCCATATTCTTGCCACTAGATTAACCACTGTATTTTTCAAGAAAGCTGTTGTCACCTATGACAAATCAAAAATCAAACAGCAAATACAAATTTTTAAATTTCAAAATTAATAACTACTAGTATTCCAATATATACAAGTACAGTCACATTATTTCAAATACAAATATTTGTTATTACCAAATTAGGCACATAATATCATCTCCAAAAATAAATATTTTGTGATTCAATAAGTAAAACATGAGCTATAAATAAATTTCCTTCGACAACAGCTAGACTGCATGGAAATGAAAGTAATAAGATTCAACTTAATAATCAAGTCATCCAGATACCATGTCTCAATGTAATTACACATATTTAAAAAGTATAAAATATAAAAACTGATTTCTCCTCTGAAGCCAAATAGCTGCCTGTAGGGACAAATATAAAAAGCAGATAGAAAAAATTTGGCATGGGAAAAGAGACATGTAATCTTATTTTCAACAAATTGCTTTCACATTAATACAACAGTGTACATTTAAGGCAAAACTCATCTCACTGCACATTTCCACCAAGTTCAGATTTATATTAAATCCACTTGAAGATAATATACTTCTGAGCCATTACAACTCTGTATAAAAGTTGGCTCACCAAAACAATTCATAAATAAACAAATACATTACAGAAGTGCAAAAAAGGAGTGAGAAATGTAATTAAATACCATAAATTAAAAATACAAGAAACAAATTCTACGAAGACATACACCTAAACGTGATTTGACATTAAACGAGGTATTTTAACTTACTTATAATAAATGTACTCTAATGTAAATAATTACAATGTTTCACATGATGAGCTGCCACTCAGCGACATTCCCAACATAACTATCTTACAACTTCAAGCAGAAGTGACCAGCCTATTCTGCAAATGATGACAAAAAAGAAAATGAAGCCAACAAAATGAACATAAGATGAGCAGTGGGAAAGGTGATTTACATATTTTGCACACAATGTCACTAACTCTTGTACTAATTGAATAAAAATGCACATCACTGTTCATTTCATTTACAGGAACACTTTATTCTTACTGATTAAAGTTCTGATAAAAGGCACAAGCTTCAACTAGTCCATTTACATATCCCAGATGAAGTCACACATCACTCAATTGGTTTGACCTGAGCCATCACTTTTCCTTCCCACAAAGGAAGGACATCATTATCATCAGTAATTTCTTCTTGAATAACCTTCATATCTAGATCTTCACATTCCGTTTTGAAGAAAAACCTGAAGTAAAAGAACAGAATGCCATGAATGAAAGAAAAATAATGTCTAATAAGAGTTGAAAACACTTGTTCAGTGACTACTCAATTCCAACTGGCAATTCTTCTATCTTACTTAAATACTAGTAACTTGAAATGTTCATTCTATGAAACAAAATCACTAACTATTATGCAACTATTCATTATTTTTCTAACAAATTAATTCACCTCCATGATCAAGAACAAACAATGAAAATATAAAATATTTTTAAATATTACTGATTTATTCATTTCTTTGTATTAATTTAATTTACTCAGGCTCTTGTTACACTTAGTTAGATTTGGCACCTTCGCCACGGACGCGGCGTCACCCGGACAGCCTAGTAAATACTTAGATAGTTATTTGCAACTTGTAGTACACATCCATCAATATGTAAGGTTTTTGCATTACAAGAAACTGACTTCTATTTGGAAAGGTTTTCTCACATCATAAAAATTGTAAAAAGAAAGATGATTGTTATGTAATTTCTGGCACACGCTAGAAAATTGGTACAAGTTTTTCTCACGTAGATTGTCTTATTTTTTGAAAAATGTTATATGTAGTAGTGAACAGGTTACATTCAACACACAGAATTCTGTTTTCCTACATTTAATGTTAATAGTAGCAAATAACAGGGGACTGAGTAAATAAATACAAATGAAAATATAAACAAATCAGATCACAAGAATAACTATTTATAAAGCAAGTGGTAAAAGTGACATTTTATTTTGTGAGCAAGAAAGGTTGTGACACAAAGCCGATAGGCGCAATCCTTAGAGTAAAATAAAATCAATTTCACCACACGTGTCATAAACTATTACTTACAGAAATAATTTTGATCCAGGGCTAGGTGTTATAACTTTAAATTCTAATTAACTTAAAAGGGGAAAATTACTAACGTGTTGTGGGTTGCATACACTTTAGAAATGTTTTGAATTATTGCTGATTCATCATTGATTATTTGTGATTATATAGTGCACCTCATTTCCATGTTTGCTATTATCTAATATATTAATAATGCAGAAAGTTATCAATTTGGTAAAGACTTGTGTTGATTGGTGGTTTTTGTTTTCGGCAGAACAATTATCTCGAAGTAATTGTAGATAGTGGGTCCCATTATTTCCATGCTATTTCCCTTTCTCTCTACAGCATGTTTAGTTTGTACTCCTACTATTTTTACTTCCTTTCTAGATATTGTAACACATTTGTTTTTTGTGTACTGTTAAAAAAGTTCATGTTCATTTGATCTTAAAATGGTTTCAATAACAATCATAGTATTCTAAAAACTTAGAAGACAATAGAATTAGTGTATTTTGAAGTGCAAAGCCTAAGAATCCCAATGATCTTTCATTATTGACTAATTATATTAATGAACATGCAGAATTAATGAAGTGTATTTTATTAAAAAAGTAATTTCCCACCATTTTTTTCTCAGACCCAGAAGTGTAAATGAGAGGTTTTGTTGTAGTAACTGCAATTAATACTACTCAACAGATCTTGAGTTTTGTAACAACTGTTACTGTTCACCACTTCCATTAAAAAGATTAAAACAAGAAATACTAACAACATGATTATTGATTTACCTGTAGCTGCCTTTCTTGGGAAGATATTCTTTGAACTGCCGAAGTGTCACAGAACGCCCTGGTATCTTAGTCCGATATGGAAACTGTTCATCACAGAATGAGAACACAACAGTCGTGAACTCAGATCCATCACCTGGCAGTGTAGGCCCTGTTCGTCCACTTCGCCCCCCTTTCCTCAATGTTGACTGCCCCGACACTGGCAAATCTGTAGGACTATGAACAGCTGAGGTCTTCATTGTTGTACTGTACCTAAACAAAGAGGTAAATAAATACATTTTCTTATCAAGAACGACATAAACTAATAAAAATACTATTTTTCTGTTGCCTGACGATGGAGCCAGACAACCTAGAGCAATAGAGTAATAAAGAATAACAGAGAATCAGAATTAAAAATCTGACCAGCTGACAAGGCAAAACCAATAAAGATTAGTCATTAGAGAAAAGAAGCTATTCTCACAAAGCATTCATAAAATATTAAATTTAAAATGCAGACAGAATAAATGCAGAAAAAGGACAAGTTTTTAAAAAATATTTGTCTAATTCCAAAAATGTATGTCTAGGCAGTTTTTCAGCAATATTTACTATTTCATTTACTTTGTCTACAAAATTTATTGATTTCACAAAAACTTGATTCTGAACGGAGCACCTGGAATGCTTCTTAACGTACCGTTGCCTTCCTCCTTTTACACGGCCCTCTTCTTCCAGCAATCGCCTCCTGGCCTCCTCCAGCTGAGTATCTGTGTGAGGCATGGGTAGAGGCGGCATGGAAGGATCTGCTACAAACGGTTGAGCAGGCCCTGGTCCCCCCCATGCTCCTCCACATCCCCCAGCACGTTCCAAGGAACCAGAGCGCGAACTGGTGTAAGGTACTGTAGGCTTCCGACTATGCCTACAACAGGATCCATTTCTCATAGAACAGCAATCAGCAAATTTTACAATCAATATATGTATATGTCCTATAAAATACAGAATTGCCTTTTTTTTTATTGAGCTCAGTCTTGTCCTGAAAAACTTTCATAGGACACCAAATGTCTGTTTTTTGTTTCCTCCCATTTTCTTTTGATATTACGCACCTCAAATAAAAACTACATGTACATTTGTACCAAGTTTTGTACATTAGATAATGTGAAAAACTAAAAATTGACACTTCATTTGCTCTCCTGTACCTTGCATGCTTCTAATTACTTTCGAGTTATTTGATAGCAAGAATAAAATATTTTCAAAAAATTCTGTATTATCTCATGTCTTTCAATAACTTTGCCTTTCTCAGTCCTTAGGCAATATTCAGCAATATTCTTTCAGGAGACAATGAAGAGAATTAGTAAAATACTTTTAAATCAAGTTATTATTTGCCAATTTATTTCCAAATTTTCCAAGTTATAAAATTTTATTTGAAAAAGTTTAGACAACTTCAATTTTGTATGTTTACTCAATTTGAGTAACAAAATCTTGGCAATGTTTTATATTCGTTTTCACGTTCTGTTTCACTAGGTACAATGCCATTCGTATGGGTACCTCTCTTCTGGCTCATTCAAAAACATCAGTCTGGAATGCCTGGCAAAGTCGTGGTGTATGCCGAGACAAGTTGGCAAATATGATTACTTATTATATATACATGTGATATTCTTATTGCAGTTTTCTGTGTTGTCAATATTTATGAGCTTGGGGACGCAGATTGACAATGTAAAAACATAAATCCTAATCGACTAGGCTAAATCTGCTTAATATAAGAGAACCCCGTATTTTTCAGATGAGACTTTTACAAAAATCCTTTGTCTTATATTTAGATAAATGCGATATAACGTATGTACTCCAAAATAATCCACATATTTAAAAACAAATTGCTCGTTGAAAATTGGGGTGCGGGTAATATTCAAGTCAATGTTGGTACAGTGAACTTGAAGCATGTTGCATGTTGTTACATGGCGAAGTGGGTTATACTACAGTTTCTATAACGTGGCATATCAGGGCCTATCTTCTAGATGGAATGTCTACTGGCATTTCGCGTGTTTCTCAGTTGATGTCGCATGATCACGACCGTATCAAGCACCGCTTGATATGTTTGCGACATTTAGTGGCACGACCGAGAAAGATGTGAAATTCCTGACAAAATGCCACTGTGATGGTGGTAATGGCACTGTTGAGGCGCAGCTTTATAAAAATCACCCTCTAACCAGTATTAACAGGTGGGCCTTTCGAAGACAGATATTTTTGCAATGAACCTAAAAGAATTTGAAAAAAAGTTTTTTTCAAGATTCCTTACCCGAAAATCAGGGTGCGGGTAATATTTGAGTATATATGCTACAAACACACACACACGCCTTGGCTTTCGCAGGTTGATTCTAAAACTTTCAGGTTTGATATAAAAAGCACATCTCCATTGATGAAAACCTAGTTGAATTTCTAAGGTATATTATACAATTTTTTTGTGATGAGTAAAACTACTAATTTAATAAAAAAATGTAACAGCATGAACAATTTATTAGAATTAAATAAATTAATTAAAAAGATTTTCAAATAAACTACTCTTCCTACTGTGAGTCTCAAAAGTCACAACTGAAGTGTAGTTTTGCTTAACATTACAGAAGATTTGCACCTTACAAACCTTCGTTATTCCTTAAAATTCTTATATTGAACACATGTACAAGTTCCATATAATCGAAGTTTATTTTCAAATGCAAAATAACAATTTAATTTTTCTCTAACAATCAAAAATCCAAGTAAAAGATATTTACTAAAACCTAAACTATTACAAATTCGTACCTTGGAGCAACAGGAGATGTAGCACTATTCCCAGCACAACGCATTTTACTGTGCTTGTTGGAGGCGCCAACATCTCGTTCACTGTGTGAATGAGAAGTACTTGCGCTCTTCTCGCTTTCCATAAGCCATGACAAAACTCTACTGGAAAGGAAGCAGAAACAAAACAAAATTAATACAAAGATAGGAAATAGGACTTCCAAAATCTAAACACTACTTAAGAACTTGATCAACGGAAATTGGTATCTATATTTCAAGTCGATTTACAATCTCTTCTAATCTAATTTTTCGAAATGTTGCTTATTCAATAAACTAACTAGAGAAAGATCTTACTTGTCTTTGCACTGACTGCTTGCTGGAATCACTGGTGTGCTGTCTGAAACTACACTTACACCACTATCAGTAAGATCAGTAAGTGTCTTTTTACTACTTGATCTTCTACATACATCTCTACTTTGCCGAAATCTAGGATCATAACCTGAAAGCAGACGAAGATTCAGTCAGAAATAACTAATTGAAGTATCAGAAATATTGCTTTCTTACACAACAATGTTTTTCTAATAGGTGTAATATTAATTACTCTTGTGCACTGAACTTTATTTGCGTTATTTTTATAGTAGCATAAAATAGTCCCTCTAAAATTATTGTATATGCAACGTATACATGAATATCAGTGTCAGTAGCTGAACTCCTTAACCAGTCTGTGAAGTCACAGAGGGCAGCTTGAGACACCGAGGGTCCCTGGATGGGTGATCATCGGGGAACTTGGGATACTAACAGTGCCAAACCTCTGGCCATTAGAGAAAAGGCAAAGACATTATGACAAAATGTTCAAGGAGAATTACTCCATGTTCAGTGTCTTGTGACTATATTCAAGAAGAATACTTTGTGATTAATGTCTAATAATGGCTTGGTATGGAAAAAATTAGACAAAGGTTTCAATAAGGCTTTAATGATTCATTATACTGTTAATCTGAAATTGATTAGCAGTTTTAACTGTAAATATTCTTTCATTAACTTCCATAGATACCTTGCAAGGGAGAGTACACATCTTGCTTTTGAGCTTCTTGATAATCAGGCATGGATTTGCTTTTGGGCATGTGATGCTTATGTTCAGAGCCTTCAGTAAAATCATGCACATTTCCTGAGTCAGACGAGAATGTTGAAAACACATCCTATAGAAGAAAAATATGCAGTGAACAATGAAACAATGAAAAATAAAATCTTCAAAAACCCAACAACACTGAAAAAATTGCCAAAACTTACTTTTTCTTTGCGTGGATGCCGTGGGCAATACGAAGTGCGGGAATGGGAGAGATATGGATGAGGCACACTGTGAATTGCACCTCCACTGCTGAAATGGGACGGATTTGCAGTGCAAGGTGGGATTGGAGGCTGGGCAATACCAACACCCTGAATTATCTGGAAAAGAGGAAATAAAATGAGCTTTGGAATTTGAATTCATCAGTTACATTGATTACCTCTAAGCAGAAATTTGGAAATCAATACCCTAGTATCAGTCATGGAGAAATGGAGTATTAGCAATATTTCAAACAGAGAGAAGCTGCTGAAGAACATCCACACTAATTGGAAACACAAAGCAAAAATAATGTGACTAAATTAATGTCAATACATCCTCAGTCCCTGTGAGTGAATGCTATAGAAGATAGATCAATTAATATATTAAATTACATCTGCACTACAAACAGACTTCACAAATTAATGAGCAGAATGTTCAAAAATTTTATATATAATTATCACCATCCCGCCACCATGTTGGATGCAATTATGCTTGGAAAATATATTCCGCAATTGTAAAGGAATCCAAATTGTGACCACGTTCCTGAGTAACAAGTTCTTTGGACAAATTTAATCATATGTTTTTACCTTTAGATACTGAAAAATTAAAATCAAAACATGTATGTATCATATTTATGTTGAAAAGATTAATGATCATCTCATATCAACAACAGATATACATATGTATATTAAACATGGCCATCATAGGCACTTAAAATGGAGGGGGGGACTAAAGAACTGTGAATCTACACGGAATTTTAGTTAAAGCTACACAATTTTTATTGATTTAGTGAAATTAACCTATGGAAGCATTAAAAATGGAAGCAACATTAAAAATGTCATGTTATGTTGCAGGTCTTTATGAAGTGAATAGCATACTCTAACAATAAACTTAGAAAAGATGCATATATTTGAAAATAAATAGGAAGACATGACCTCTGTTTTCCCTACCAGCGATGCCTTTGATATTAAACAAAGATATTCATTCAGTTCTCCAAATTTGAAGGCACCAATGTTTTACACTCTCAAGAATGATAAAACGAGGGTAAATGATAAAAAATAGGTTTTGTTAGCTACCCTAACATTTTCAATCTTTAGATCCTTTAAAATTTAATGCAAAAATAAATATTGACATAATTTTCATTAATGTATATCTTACATTTTTAGTTTTATAGTATTCAGTTGCAGAGACAAAAGGGAGCTAAACAATTTTTGAATAAGTATATAAATAATTTTATTCCTTTTGAAACTAACTTTATTTGGAGGAAGAACAGCAGGAGGCATTGCGGTGGCAACCATTGCAGCACGTCTGCGCCCTTCAGGAGACCTTGGTCGAGGTGACACCAAGCCTGGTGATCTTGAAGGGGTGAGGTCCGACCAAACTCGTGACACGTGTTGATCTGATAAAAGAGAGCTCACATAAATTTGGACTGTTAAGAAAATAAAACAACTGAAGAAGAAAAAAATGGCTAAATGCTTGAATTATACTCCGTTGGATACCACCCAGGAAGCAAGAGCAATGCTAAATGAGGAGAGAAAGTTACAAAATATTTGGAGAGAGAAGAGTACAATAAGAATAACCCCTCACTATTTACAAACATGAAATTGACTATTCATTCCAGTTAGAAGTACTGGAGAGTAAAATAAAATTAAATAAATAAATCTATAATATAAAAATGAATCGCAAAATGTGTTGATAAGTGCATAACTCAACAACGCCTGGACCAATTTGGGCAATTATTTTTTTTTTATGACTGTTGAAGTTCGATGGTTTTTACGTCGAGAAAAATTAGAATAATTGCCGGAAAAAAACTAAAAAACAGCCCTTTTCTTTTTCCATACAAACGTTTTCTAACTAAAATGTTAAGTCAATTTGAGCTTTATAGTATTGTAAAAAGCACTCATTGTTGTTTAAACAATGTAGTTATGTTCTAAAGTCAAAGAGTCAATTTTCACTTTATTCGCGTTATACAAAGTTCAAATTCATCATATCTATCAAAGAGTGGCGCTTTGGAGCGCAGAATACATCTTTGAGGGATTTAATGTCGCGTTCGCGAAACTATTTAATGGATATGCCTCCTATTAGACGAAGCATTTAGGTAAGAAGAACCCAATATGCTATAATCGAAGCTAATTACCGATCTAATCATGCTGGCACAGAAACGTGATGACGCAAAATGAACATGAAAGAAATTCGGATATCACAAACGCGTGAAGCGTGTGCGCTACATTCAACTAATAATGGCGCAAGTTTGAATCGATCTGCTTTCAGTTACGATATGTCAATTGACTACAGTAACTACCAATGTGTTGTTATTGGTTCTATGAACTCGGTTTGCTAATATTGTAAGGCATTAAAATATAAAAACGAAGCTAATGGATTGTGTTGCCAAATGGTAAAGTGAAAATGATACCATTGGAAAACACCACCAGAGCCATTGTACTCTTGGTTTCAGGAATAGGACAAATTCCATACACTTTTTGACAAATATCCAACAATATACAATTCTTTCAAATGACAAAAAACGAGGATTGCCCACATGCACAACATTTTGATTTGGTTGGTTGAAAAAGATAAGGCCAAAGAAGTTGATGCAGTGATATCAGTGAAATCTCTAATGAACAAGTAGATCCTGGATTGCATGTGGTAGTTATCAAAATTATGATACATGGTCCCTGTGGAACTCTTATCAAAATTCACCATGTATGATGGATGGTAAATGTTCAAACGATAACACGGACATTAATATCGGAACAATTGTTGGTAATGGGGGTTATCCACTGTATCGTCACGATCGACAGCAAACAATAGAAGATCAACAATTGCCAAATTAAATAAACACGATATTGAAAATAGATAATCGTTGGATTGTTCCATATTCACCCATTTTACAAAGTCCCTCAAAGCACACATCAACATTGAATCTTGCCATTCAGTTAAATCTATTAAATACATTTTCAAATATGTAACCAAAGGAGTGATATGGCTGTGATTGGGATTGGGCAGAGAATTCCAATGATGAAGTTACCAATACAATGGGCCGCTAGGTTAGTAGTAATGAAGAGTAAGGCGAATATTTTCTTTTCCTAATTCATGAGAGACACCCTTCTGTTGTTCACTTAGCTGTGCATTTAGAAAATGGACAAAGAGTGTAATTTACAGCACAGAACGCAGAACAAAGAGCTGCTCAGCCACCATCGTACTACATTAACCAGTTTTTTGAGAATGCAAACGATGATTTTGCACAAACATTGCTATATTCTGAAATGCCAAAATATTATACTTTATTCAGTATATATATAATTTATTCAGTACATCAAGCAATGATGAATGTTTTTATTTATGACTGCATTAGTCAATGTACGTGGCCAACATCATTCAACATTAACGAACTGTTGATGGTGAATTGTGTGGATCTTACAGAGAAGCCTGTGAACGTTTTGCAAATTGCTAGAAAATGACGCTCATTGGGATCGAACTCTCAATGATGCTGTAATATCATCAAACGCTCATCAAATAGACATTGTTTCTATATCATATCTACATGTTTCCATCAAACCCAATTCATTTGTGGATCAAGTACAAAGATTATATGTGTGATGATATTTTGTATCAATACGAAATAGAATGGGAAATCCGAATATACAAATCAGTGAAGAAATTTACAATGAAGCATTGATTTAATTAAGGACATGTGCTTGATGATGTCAAACTATTAATTCAATTAGGCCTGGCCACGCCTAATCGTTTAATGCATGATGCTTTTAACCAAGAATTGAATTGAGAAAAACTGTATGATCTCAACACTTTGAAAGAATTAATTCAAACAATTCTTCCACTGTTGAATGAACAACAGAAGTATGATTTGATTCTCTTATAAAGTAACAAATGATGAAACTGGAGGGATTTACTTCTTAGATGCACCTGAGGGTACTGGAAAACCTTTTTGATTTCATTAATATTAGCAACAATTCGCTCACAAAATAAAATTGCCCTTCACTTGCTTCGTCAGGAACGCAGCAACTTTGCTTGAGGTGGTCGAAAGCCCATTCAGCATTAAAATTGCATTAAATATGCAAAGCAATGAATCCGACCTGCAACATTTCGAAGAACTCTGCAATGGCAAAGGTCTTGCAGCAATGTAAATTAATTATTTGGATGAATGCACGAATGGCACATAAAAATCTTTGGATGCTTTAGACAGACTTAAAAGATCTACAGAGCAATCATAACCAATTTGGTGGTGCAATGATTTTATAATTAGCAGAGATTTTCGTCAAACATTGCCAGTGTTTCACGATCAACACCAGCTGATGAACTCAATGCATGTTTTAAGTCCTCCAATTTGTGGAAACATGTCAAAGTACTTCATTTAAGCAAGAATATGCGTGTCGAGTTGAAAATGACAAATCTGGAAACATATTCTCTAAACAACTCATTGACATTGGTAATGGCAAATTTCCCATAGACATGTTGACTGGCTGCATTAACATTCCTCAAAGTTTTTGTCAGTTAACATCGATCAAAAGATGCAACTCAGTCAGAAAATGTTTCCAGATGTTTCTCAAATTACAGAAACCATGATTGGTTGAGCCGAACGAGCTATATTGGCTGCAAAACCAAGATGTTAAATGTTACATTTAAAAATTCAAGAAAAATTACAGGCGAATATATAAATCAGTTGCTTTGGCTACTAACCAAGATGATGTAAGTGAACTTATCCACCAGAATTTTAAACTCCGCTGATTTGCCCAGGATTGCCACATCACAATTTCAAATTAAAGGTTGGATCGGTATGTATAATGTTGCGACATATGAATCAACCACGTCTTTGGCACGGCACACGGTTAGCGATAAAAAAATACTAAACAATGTGATAGAAGCAACTATAACTGAAAGGAAAGTATAAAGGAGAAGACGTTCTCATTCCGCGCATACCCAATGATTCCAACTGATGTGCCGTTTTGACTTTAAATGACTACAGTTTCCAGTTCAAGCTTGCTTTTTTGACTATGACCATAAACAAGTCCACAGGGGCAAATATTTAGGTCTTGTGGTATTAATCTGGAAACCCAGTTGTTCTCACATGGTCAATTGTATGTTGCCTGTTTCCGCCCGTGTTGGAAACCAATCAGATTTGTTTGTCTACGCCCCAGGTAATCAAACAAAAAACATGTATATCACAAAGCACTACAATCAAAAATAAAACTGATTTTTTTGTATATGATTCATCATGATTAACATAAAGCGATTACGTACTTTCAAATGCTTATATTTTTATTTAATTATTTTCTTATTCACAACGCCCTTAGTCACCAGGGTGACCAGTTCTGTTCAGGAGAATTTTTTGCCCAGACTATAAAATAAGTAGGAACAAAAAACTGTCACATTACAAATCTTTTTGATTCATTAATTGTACATTAATTAATTAATTCATTAATTGTACATACAGTTTGTTGGTTTGTTCATAGTGCATAAAAAATCTTTTGTTAATATATTATTTTCATATTTAGAAGTAATTCTAAATATGAACTAATAATAATTTGGTATTTTTTATACTAAACATTATAAACTATCTTTATTGTCACTAAGAATCGTTCAGTTCATAGAACAAGTTTTCCTTCATTCGTGTTCAAACTTCTCATGGAAGCAATGAAGAACTTTTTTTACTAGTTCAAAAATAACATTTACATTCTTGTCCCTTTTAAAAGAACATTGACAAACACTACTACATTATTCTTAGCATATGACACAATGTATATATAATACATACATACTCTACATAATGTTTAGTGTACAGTAAACGACTTGATCTTTTCTTGCGTATTGATAGACATTCTTTTTTTTTCTTGAAGTGCCTCTCCATTACTGAAGGTTGGTGACCACATCCCCAAACTTGCCTGTCTTGAGCCAGATGAAACAACTTAGATGCACTCGAAATAGTGGCCTCTTTGCGGACGTTTGTTATCCAGGACATCATCTTCCTGCCAACTCCTCTTCTACCCTGAACTTTCACCATCATTATTAGTTGCAAGAGTTCATATTTCGGGTTTCTAAGTAAATGCCCACGACACAGTGTTTTTTTAATTCAAATCATTTTTAATATTTCTTTGCATATAGCATTTCTTTCTAGAATGTAGTCATTATGCACTTTGCCAGTCCCGGAAATCTTCAACATTCTCCTGATTATCCACATCTCAAATGCCTCGTCTTATAACTGATGCTGTTTTGAGCATCAATGTTTCAGTACCATTTAAGTAACTGGTCCCACATAACATTTTGCCACTATCCCACAGGGTAAAACTCAAGTCTCAGCTATATAGACTATTCCTCATTTTGTTGAATATGGATCTTGCTATTTCTATTCTCATTTTTATTTCCGAATCTGATGTCCACAACTCGTTTATCAGTTTGTCAGCCTCACACACTCGGATATACATTCTTCTTTCTACGTGAATATCCTCTAAAATATGCATACATCTATTGTGTTTCACATTAGCAAACACTTTTTTAAAATGTACAAAACATAAAAATACTTCCTGACCTTGATCCAAATATTTCTGTAGTAAAACTTGAGTGGCAAACATGGCGTGCCTTGTTCCAAAAGCATTTGTAAACACAAATTGTGTATTTTCTATTTAAACGTCTACCTTTCTCCAAATCCGAGCATGTATAATGCGTAAAAATATTTTGAGTACATGACTCATCAAACTATTCATCCGATAATTGTCACAATTTTTTGCCCTAGCTGTCTTTGGAAGCGTAATAAACACAGGTTTTAGTCAATCAGTAGTTAGATCCCCAGTGTCATATATATTGTTACAAAGATTTGTAATTTTAGCAATACTCGCATTGTTCAAAAGTTTAAAAATGTCTTTGTTGATGGCATCTAAACCTACAGCATTGCCATTTTTACTAGCCATAATGGCGTTCTGAACTTCTTTCTTTAGAATATGAGGGTGGGGGTCAGTACCACAGGAGTTGAAATGACACCTCTGGGATTTCAAATGCTATACTCTTCTTTCTGGTAGACAGCTTACCCTTGGCAAGGCTGTGTAATCACACTTTACTGCACCTGCCACATGCATGCAGCATTAGGTTTCATGAGAATTTTTAGCAAATGCAATTAATCCCTATATTTACAATGCATCCTCTTTACACAATTTACAACTTGATGTGAAGAGTACTTCCTGTTTTGTACATAATTTTCTCTCCCTTAATTCTTTACTTTTTTGTATATGTATGTATTATGTCAAGAAAGATACATAGTGCAGGGAAAGTTATGTAATGCTGTGGTCGATAAATTCTGCTCTAATATGTAATAGATTAATACATAACAGTTACATATATATGTAACAAACTTTCAAAACTTCAAGTTCATTCAGATCAATCAGGGAATATCAATTTTGAAGAAAATCATCTGAATGGTTAATGGCACTAGCATTGACACAGATTCTGGCTGCCCCACATGTTAGAGGGAGTAATTTTCTATATACAGGAACATGATATATCCACTTTTTAGTTGCCAGAGCCCGTCAATAGGAGTTTTTCTGTTGAAAATTCGCTGTTTTCTGGTGCACAATATTAATACTTTCCCTTCTTATGAAAGTGAGAAAGTATTAAAATCTTAAGGGTGAGCAAGTAAAAACAGAGCTACCATTTCTGTAAGTTATTTAAAAATTCGACTAGCCAATAGTTTTTTCACTTTCCTGCATTTTACACTTTTTCCCATTGGTCTCCTGAAGAGTAAAAAAGGGGTTTACTGTACCAGCTACCAGTCGTATAAAGGTGAAATTTGATTTTGGAAGTCACAAAATACACGCAAGAGCAGCTTGGTTGTTACAACACTATCTCCTTTATTTACTCATTCCCTGTTGATGGGGAGGTGCTTTATGACGATGGAAAAGTTGCTGTCATTGCCTGTCACTAGGAAACTTGTGTCAGCATAATCATATGACCCTCTCAAACATCAAGCACAAAGAAATTTGCTACAACATATGTGTAAATTAAATTATTTTGGAAAATGTCAGTCACAAAGTACCTAATCCTATGTATAGAAGCAAGAAAGTAAGCAGCAGTTGAATAGTGATAGGGAGTCAAAATTATTCTGTTGGGCATTCTAGTTTTAATGGAATGAAATTAATTATCACTATACTTTTTGTATTTTTTTTTTACACTGCTTATATGATCAATACTATTTTAAGCAAGAATTTCTCTTGATGGTAACATGAAAAATAGAAAAAAGTTTGTAAAACAGTCAAGAATAAAGGGCTTTGTCACAATATTGAAAAATAATATTTACATCTAATATATTTGATGAATTATCTGAAAGAATTTGTAATAGTTATCTCCAACAATTAAATACTAGCAATGATTCAAACTGAACAACTGAGTGTACTAAATTACAGAACTACTAACCGAGAATAGCTTGATCACTATCATCATCAACCATCAGTTTCTCTCTGATAGCATCTGCTAATGTTCTTGGGGCTGACACAGGATCCATAACACAGCTTTCATCGCAGCCTCCAACCATTTCTCCCTACAAATAGTGAAATGAATGAGAAGGATGCTGACAACTCTCACAATAAACTTTTATTAGACATAGTATAGCCTGTTCACTAAAATTTTCACAACAACAACAACAAAAAAAAGAGTTTGTTTTGTTTTATATGAGCTATACCTCTTGCAATTTTCTGTCCAGTTTATCTTGAGCCTCTTGGTCTTTCTTCACGACTTCCAATTTTTCAATGAGAATAGCAGCAAATTCATTGGGCCTCATAGGATAAATCTTGAAATACAAAAGATACACTATTTTATTAACAATGATTCTTTATCAACCAATGTTATCTAATTTATACTATTAGAACAAACGGTAATTAAATGTCAAGTTAGTTCCATACCTGTTCCTTCTGAATGCGCTGCGTGCGAGGTATGACAGTATGATGCATATAAGGATCCCTGTTCATGCTAGCACTTTCCTTAATTTGTTTGCATTGCCTAATATATTGCTTTTTTGACATTCTATTACGCCCAACTGACATGCCATCTCTGAAAAAACAAATTCAAAATTTAAAAGAAATGTAGCCTTGGATCAAATTTCTTCATAAACATAACATTTTAAAGGATTACTGAGCATACTGAATACTAAAAACACATATGCACAAAGAGAAAACACACAAACAATAATGGTAGTGAACATCTATACGGATTCACAAGCATTAACAATATCATGCTAACTAAAATAAAAATATATCATGCACTAACATAGTATACTACTGATAAAAATCACACTAATTACTGGATTAACTGTCACTTGTGTCAATTAACAGATGCAAGTGGGGACATTCTTTACATCACCAGAAAATATGTTATGTAACAAAAAGTATGTAAATTTAATCATAACAAATTACCTGTTAAAATGCTACTAGTGAAGAACAAAATACACAGAATAAAAGTTGATATTATCACAAATATATTTCAATTTGGTAATGCAATTTCTTATACATATAGATACAACTGATTCCACCTTATTTTTGCGATGGATGTTCACAATAAGATTGTGTAGAACAAAATGTAAAACATAATAAAAGAAACTTAAAAAAAAAGTGTTTTAACTTACACAGAGCTGTCTGTGAGAGACATGTTGTCAGATTCTGTCCGAGCATCCGAGCTGAGGGACTGCAGTTCACTATCTTGCCTTGATACTGGGTTATAAGAGGAGTATGCAGGGTGGGCGTGGGGGGGATGGTACTGGTAATGAGCATGCTGCAAATACATCCTAGCCAAAGGGAAACAAACAAAATAAAGCAAAAATATTCAATACAAAGCTTCACTACTAAATTAACCCTTTGTGCTCCTATGTCATGTGAGGCTCGGCAATGCAAAATTGGTCTTCCTCTCAGATGTTGAGTCCCACTCATCACATAGTTTTCTTTCTTTTCTTAAAATTCATTTGAATTTAAACAGAAGATGCAAAAGTGTGAAGAAAACAATTGGTGAATATTTATCATGCCTTTTGTTGTGTAATTTTTATATTGTTGACTGGTTTATTGGACCTTCTAATTTGTTACTTGATATAAACTAAACAGACATTGTATGTATCTCATAACAGTAGCTCAATGGTTACAGCACATCTAGCCAAAAGGGAAATCTTGAGTTCGATTTTAGATACTGTTGCCGAACGTTCGAGTTGCCTTGAGTTTGATTTCAGAACTGTTGCCGAAAACAAAAGGCATCATGTTTATTGTACATCCTTTCATATTGTAAGACAGTTTATTAGATTGTGGTGTTGTGAACTGTGAAACTTATTTTCATTGTTCATTAATGAAAATGTCTTGTCTTTCTGTTCCAAAACTTAGAAATTGCCAATGTCTTGCAAGAGCATTGTAGCCCATCAAGGGGATTTAAATAACGAGCTGATGGGAACAGTACCTGAAGAATTATGAGCACAAAGGGTTAAACATGAATTAAGCACAGCTAGGGCATTAAGTACTTTTTAAACATCATAAAAGCAATCTGACTAAAGTAAAGCCAAATAATCACTACAACAGTAAACTTAACAAAAATGTAACTAGCATTTATTTCTAAAATTTTGTTTAAAAAAAGTGACAATTTTACAGAAATACTACCAGTACTGTTCAAAGTCAAGAAAATAAATCTTTGGATGTAAAAGAGGAAACACCTAAGACTACTTTTAAAAAATGAACATACATTTGTATGAATGCATAATCTACTGAACTCTCTTAAGCAAATGTTTACACATTTTCAATAATAATTCAATACTGACTCTCTCAAACTTTCAATGCTGCTCCTTTTTTTCTACGACTATGCTTTTTACTCAGTTACACTTGCAGAATTATAAAATTTGAACACGTTCCAATAATTTTACAATATAAATGAAATTAATTACACACACAAAGAAAGCTTTGGTTTATAAAGCATTCATTCAATGAGAAAAGCAAGCACAAAAACTATTTTCTCAATTTTCAAAAAATGAAGCTAATTACATGCTCTGCAAGAAAAATTCATGACACAAAACACATCACAAGTTCTCTTGGAAAATATCAAAAGTGATGTCTTTATACAAATATTTGTTACTTGACTTGCTCTAAATCATTACAAACTGAAACCAAAAGATCAAACAAACTAATTTCTTACAAAAAATGACCCTATATTTTACCTCAGAAAAGAAATGTATGAAATAATGAAATCTATAATGCTACTGGTCTTGCTTAATTGTTTCCTCAACAACAATTATTAATTCTCAATTCCAAGGAGTCAGGCCATAATTAAATGTAATTCTCATTTTTCTTTTTTCCAAGCAAAGAATTTATGACAAACTGCTAACTCAACTCACCCTGCATATGCTTCAGGTTTCGGCCTCAACTCAAATGCTCTTCTTTTTTGCGTAGCCATTAGCATGTCTCTTGTAAGAGGCAATGGGTCGTGTGTTTGTCCAGTGACTGGTGTTCCACCCATGCTACCACCCCCACTGCAACTAGTTACTAGTTCGGCGTCTTCATGAAGCGTGGGAAGCGCACTCCCCAACCCCATCCCTGAATGTTCTCTGCCACCTGAACTGCTTCCACTACTCCCACTAGAAGACCCAGATGACAGTTCTCCATTTTGCATGACTTGCACATGTTGCAAGTACATGTCAGATTTGAGAAAATTTGGATACGTTGTCTCGTTGATGAGCCGCTCAACTTCCGACTGCACAGAATCAAACACATAGCCTTCGAGAGAATCTTTGCCTTCTTTTATCCGCCGATGAACTTCCTTACGAATGTCTTCAGGAATTGCCAACTGTGTCTTAAGGAAAAATCGTCTGCAATGAAGGAAATGAAAAGATATTAAATAATGATACAAACATTCACAAATAAAATACAATCAAATCAAATTTCTACTGATTACTACCTGTGAATAACTTTGACCAGCTGATTGATTTTTTCAGGGTCTTGCTGTTTTTTAAGACCTTCACATGCAAACCAGAAGTCGAGGGTGTCAGCATGGGCTCTCCCTTCCTGTTCCAAGTAACGCCGAAAGAGTTCCACTCCCTCTGAATCTTCAAGTAAACTGTGCAGATTACGAGCCCAGCGGAGGTAGGGGGGAGGTGACCGAGAGCCTCCCCCCTCCATAAAGGAACCATCACCACAACCACTGGCACAACTGCCTTCTGGTTCAAAACCTAAAGGAGCACCAGGATCTAAAAATGTAATTGCATATTACATAAATTATGTTAGTAATAGTCTCAGAAAAGGTTATTTAAATATATTGAGAAGTTATCTAAGTATGTGTTTATATCACAGTATTCTAAATTAATACATAAAATGAAAAGTGTTCTAAATTTTATACAGAAAGAGATTGGGAGGGGGGGCATTAACATACACATTTTATGGAACCAATAATCATACATAAATGAAGGATTATGAAACTTGTTCAATAAAATAACATTCATCCTATTGCAGCAAGTGAATTGTGGGGAGGTGGTGGTAGATCAGAAGGGAAAGTGTTGTTTCCAAAAATTAACCATGATTCTCTTACACATTTAAAATGCTGTTATTAAAAAAAAAAAATAGTGTGTGCAACTTCTTAATAATGTAGCTATAATGCAATTGTACAAATTTGAAAACTTGTTCCTAACATCGCTAGTTTTCAAAACATGTACTTAAGCAATGAAGATTAACATTATAAACTGGTTGCATAATATCCTTATTAAAGACACAAGACTAAAAAGTACATATTTATTCACCATACAACAGAGCCATGCAGGTTAGATCTAGCCATTTAAGATCAAGTTGTAAACTATTTTTGTATACTCTTCACACGAAAGTTTTCTTTCACTAACAAAACAATTGAAATGCTAGTAATTTCAGAATTCTTTTCCAATGTGGATTGCTGTAGGATCAGCCTTGTTTTGTGCACAATACCTCATTTACAGTGCATTCTAATTTTCTATTGAAAATACCATTAAAGCCAATAACGTAGTTGTAATGGCAACAAGAAAATTACAAAATATACAATCACATTTAGAATAATATTTACTTAAGTAAAGAAATTCTCATTTATCTTTCCTCTCTCAGTGTAACAGATCTTAACATTTTGGCTAACCCACATACAAAAAACATTATGGGAAGAGAAAAATTCTGATGACTTTTACTAATAATATTTCAATATCAATTGTTTCAATCACATTTCCCCATCCCTATTCCTGAATGTTCTCCACTTAAACTTCTTCTACTACTCCCACTAGAACACTCAGAGGATCGTTTTCAATTCTGCACAACTAGAATATGTGCAAGTACAGTAAACCCCATTTATATTAATTTTGTACTTACACATTTTTTATGTTTATGCGTTGTTGTTTATATGTCCCATCTAAATTCCTGTACTTCCCATAATAAATAATTTCCGATATGCATTTTATGTTTATTTATTTTCCATGCTTATATACCCATAATAAACGTTTCTGACTGCGTAATGATATAGATGACCAGTAGATGAAAATGATTATGTCATCCTGAGGAACCCGTGGAATTTGTATAGTTCAGTATAGAGGTTGTTAAGTGTTGTTAGTACGCAAGGCCTATCAGCCTTCCATTACAACCAAGTAGCAACTGGAAACTGAGGTCAAAAGCATAGGCTGTAAGGATAGTGCTGCTAGTGTCCCTACAGCTTTACATAATATTTGCCAACATTACTTGGGAAAAACCAGACTATTTGTTCAAAAACATTGGAACCAAGTAATGATTAAGTTCTCACATTTTGAGGGAAAATTCATGCTTTAGTTGCACAGAAAAACAAAACTTTCTTTCTTGAAAATATTATGTTTTGGGAATATTATATGCAAATAAATATAATATATACTTTTGGGAATATTATACACATATTGTGTTTCTAACACAACAGTGTTGTCAAAATATTGGTTTTATATTTTGCACTTAAATTTTAATTTTCAGTTATGCACTTTTCTTGCATATACATTTTACCCCTTCAGTCCCCTGAAAAAGGTGAAAACAAAGTTTTACTGTACATGTCAGATGAGAAAATTCGGATATTTTGCCTTATCAATGAATTGCTGCACTTCTGACTGCAAATTGAAAGAATTCAAGTGGAATTTTAATTTAAAAAAGGGTTTATAATTAGTCTTTTCACATCAAGATTGTGTGTGGGGTAGCCTAAACATGTTCAACCTTATGTTACAGTTCACGAAATCCGGTTTTTGAGATAAATACTTAAAATAAGCCATTTACTTCAATTTCTTAAATCAGAATCTAACATGTTAGCAAGAAAAATTCAAACAAAGTAGGGAACATTTCAACAAAAACACACGTTACAACATCCGCAATCTCAAGAATTTTCAAAAGATGCTGAGGTCAGGATTCTGTGATGGTTGAGCTACGGTGAAAATATTGAATTGATTTGTCCATACCTTCTATATTGGAAGGGTTACAAGCAATACTGGATCGTCGGGGGGTCAGCACTGGGGAGCTGCCCCCTTTGCTGTACTTCAAAGCAGAGCTCCATGATGGATAACTAGGGCCGGCACCAGGAGACTGGGAGCCTGCCAAATCAGGTACTTCTGTCTCTTCACCTGCAAAGAAAGCATGTTTTGAGTTATGTTTATTTATACTACTACACAAATAATTTTTGACAATGCAGTCAGACTGTTCCAAGACAGAGCAGAGAATAAGCAATACAAAGGAGAAGAAAGGAGAAGAATTCCAAGAAAAAAGTAATAAGGGAGAAAAGTCTGAAGAAAAATATGAACAAACCACAGAAGAAGGAAGGTAAAAAGTTTGAGAGGCTTGACTTAACAATAAAAGAGTGAGACTGCCCATTGTTTCTACACGTTTGATCACAATGTAATACAAAGATACTCTTTCCACTGCTTTTGAAATATTTCTTTTAGTGTACCGGTAACAAACTATATTTAAACCCACAGATATTCATACAATTATCGATGCAGTTAATTTTATGTATCACAACATGACATTATTTTAAATTGATGGATAATTTTTATTGTACATTCAAGAATTCACTGACAACTTGGTCGTGAGAAATTGCATCAATCAACAATTCAAATGATAAACCATATAAGCAATGAACTTGTAGTTTAAGGAATGTTGTGGTTTTCATATTTCAAAAATACATCTTGAGAGTATTTAGAAAACTGCTGGATGTCAGGAGCTTATTCTAGCAAACACAACTTGAGCAAATACCTGGAATTGGTGGCCTTGGCGAGTTCTCATTAAAACTGTGGTCTCCTCTAGAATGGAACTCTGCTTGATCCACTGCACTCATCCTGCTGTGCCCCAAGAGGAGGCTGGCACACGCTCTGGCGGACACCACACCTCACAGTTGTGAGGCATTGCGTGGCCACGAAAATACCTGCTGCAAGAGCACACCAACCTCCTTTTATTATAAGAACCATTCACATTCCAAACATTAAGACATGGATAAGGGAACACATGAACAGTATAATCTTTATGGGGACAATCCTCAAAATTCACAGTAGAAAGTAAAAGTAACCAGAAATAATTTGTAGCAGGGATAGGGGTAAGTGATTCTATGTTCAGATAAGCGAGCTCACAACAGATTGATTCCTCAGAAATCTTTGCAGGATCAAATATTCACATACCAAGGTTTAAAAAGGAAAAAGTACATTCATAATTCATGAAGATTCTTTTTCATTCTTTCCAAAGAGCCAAGTATTGATGGCTGAAATAAATCAAAGTTTTGAAAAATATCCTACGGATGACATTTTACATTAATACAGGGTGTAGATGGTACAACATCTAATATTTGTTGAATACTAAGCACTACAGAGAAGAATAACAATTGTGTTCCAAGAAAGGCAAAGAAATAATGGATTTTACAAAAAAAGGATTTCATAAAATATATATATATATAAATAAATAAATAAAAAGAATTGTTATGAACTTAATTTCCAGGGTTGTTTGGAGTGGTCACATTTGGACAAGAAATACATCAGATTTGTTGTGAACTTGTTCTTATACATATTTGGAAAATATAATATCAATGATAATCGAGCCAATTACCAACGATAATCAATCCCATTACCAACCATTAAAGGGCAGATTGCTATTACCTTAAATCTAAAAAAAGAAACAAAAATTGTTTCATAATTTATGAATTCTTGTTATCTTCATAAATTTTTTGTGTGTATCTACTGCAAATATTACTTTTTAATTTTTTTTACAAATACTTTTGTTTTTGAAGAGGGAAAATCACATAAAAGGTTAAATCTTTGGTGCACTGCAGGTTGAAAAATGGTGAAAAAATGTGGTCGAAAACCCTATTGCAGCAGAAAAGATGGGGGATATCATTTTTAGAACACACACTATGCAGCATCTGGTAGAATGACTTTGTTCAATAGAAGACCACCGCCATCACCACTTGAAAAGTCCCGTCAGTCATTGGTTGCCAACATCCCCTCCACAACGTCAAACAGCATCGATCGTGCCCTACGGGTCTTTGTGTACTATACCTGGACATTGAATGGAGATTTTTTTTATACACAAACAATAGAATTAAATATTGTTAAGAAATTCAAAAAAATATCAATAGCACACAGGTTGAGAAGTAGCAGTTTTAATCAAAAGAAGCATTTTGCACAACTAATAATAATTTATATTATGGATTTTAAATATCAACATAAAACCTACTTCAGGGGGCAATACTGACATTTCAAAACATGTATAACGAAAAAGGGAATTATTACTAGAAATGAAAAAGAAGATCTGATGGAATTATCTAAAGATTAATTTTTTTATGATTACCTATTACCAAACAAAACTTACCAAATCCATTTTTGAAGCTGTGATCAAAATTTAGCAAGCTAGTTTGAAAAACAATTTAAAAATAAATAATACAAATTTCAAATGTGAGAAGTGAAAATAAATTAACGTTCTGAGAAATCTAAACAACACAAAGACAAAATTAGTTTCTCATTCGTGTTTCAGAGATTTAAGGAATTTAAAAAACAATTTTCCTTGTACCGCACACACAATGAGCAAATTAATATAGCAATTTCACATAACGCACTACTCAAACTCTATTGACCACAAAGAGCACCCAACGAGATGTGATCTTCTCTGAGAGAACAGTAAGCTATTGACCCATCCGCAACGCGTCCCGGATGCTTTCAACAGTTCTGCGCAGAATCCACAAGCGATAGGGCTGGGAAAAAATCAATGCTTTTCACATTATCATAATAACCGACGCTTTCTGAATGACTCACCCACTTCACAATGAATGCAGCTATAGTCCAAACAAATTTTCTCTACTCAAAAGTATGACCAAAAACTTTATTGAGAAGACCGTATTCTCAAAACTTATTGTGCATGAACCTATTGATCAGCAAGAAATGATTTTATACCTCTCCAACTTTGATTGACAGGTATGGATCAACAGACAAAAGCAGCTGTCAGTTTTCATAAGATCATCTTCTACCTTCATAATATTTCCAGTTCTTTTCACATGACAGAACCTAAGTAGTCATAACAAAAGAGCTTTGGGAAACTGGATCCCTTTTCCCTTTTGTTAGCTTACACAATAGGACATGAACCTCAACATAATTCAGTAAATAAAGAAAAAAACACTGAGTGTGATTTCTCATAGCAATTTCTTTTAATTAAAAATAAATTAAGTAAAACAAGTATCTGATTCAATGAAGCAAAATTAAATTATGAAATGTATAATTATATGAGAATAGAAAACAAAAGTACTGAAGCAAGACAACATTAACAAATAAGACAGAAAATTTATGTTGAAAACTATATTTTCACTAGTTTAAAGAAAATGAATACAAATAATTAATTATTTAATAAAGCAATAACATTATCATCATTAAACAAGAATACTTTACTAGCAGGCAAAATATCTGGGAGAAATTGTGTTTTAAAACCCCTTAAAACATGACCCCTGCTCATGGAAAGAAAGAAAGAAAGAAGCTTAGTTTAAATTTCATTAATCCTGCATATAAAATTTTTTTTTACAGCTCTGGTTGTAATATAAGAGCTAAATCTAAAAGCCCTCGTATTTCGTAAAATTATCGCGTTTTAAAGGAGTACTAAACAAAAAATGAATTTTGGCAATATTTCAATTCTCTATTTTTTTTTTTATTAAATGATGAAAATTAGAAATATTAATTGACCGGGTTTCAATCCGCCAGTAATTTCGTTGGAATTTGACACATCAAAATAGTAATTATGAATAATGAAGTAATATAAAATGAAATAATGACGTAATGTCGAAAGAACCGCTTTATTTACGCAAATATACCGCACGTTTCACGGATTCCACAACCGAATACATTTCCTTTCACAACTTCGCGAACGTGCTTAAACTGCAGAGGCAACTGCAGTGCACAAATAATCGGGACAGTCAGTGCTTATGATTATTGGAGCGATACTCCCGGCCCACTTCGTGTACCAACGCGGGACGTGCGTCCGAAACGGGCAGGGGGCACCGCTAAGGGAAACTGAAAACGGGAACGTGGGATGATTCGGAGGAACAATACATAGCGCGCAAGGGCCGGGGGGGCGCGGGCACAACAGGCAGTTTTTGAGAGGGGTGCGGTAGACAGAGGGGGAGGAGGAGGTTCCGGGATATTTTATAAAATAGAATAACCTACAGATCAAAAGGGTACAGGGTTGGGAAAGGAACCAATTCACAGTAGACAGTCAATAATCTAAACGAATTGGAATCTGAGCTCTTTCGGATTATAAAGTATTCTGTATTTTCTAAATTAGCCAAAACCGACAGATACGCGTTAATGTAAAATAACTTAAATCGTTCCATTCTGATGATTATTGAAATATAGCAAAATAATAAAATTATTAATGTATTTTTCCCCCTACTTCAATTACAAAAACAATTTTTTACTGTGTAAATAGTAAATCTAGGTCCATAGCAAATAAAAAGTATATATTTATAAAGTCGTGACGTTGATTTTAAACAAATGCATACGCTATACATTTCAAGCGGCGTTTTTCCTCTTGTTAGAATTTAATTCGGATTATAGATGGGCCGGATTTTTGACATACGAATTATTGACCGCTCTATTGTATTTGTATGCATGTGTTTCCGCACATAAGATGTGGAACTGTCAAACCTGTCAGATTTTCGACGACGCATGATGTACTGTCACGAAACGCGTCGACTTTTATACATTTCGAAATAGGTTTTTAGAGTCGGAAAGACTCCAGAAAAATGGGCGAGGGTGAATGAAACACAGAATAAAAATACCTATTCCAATCCATTTTAACAATTATTTTGCTTAAACCATTGCACTCAATATCTGATGTTTTTTATTTAATCAAGGCTATAAGGCACTGACAGAACATTTATTCAATTTTAAGAATGTGCAAAAACAATCACTGTCAAATTTTGATCAATAAAATTATTTACATTGTCTCTTTTTGATGAAATCAAACATAAAAACATTTTGTTAAACATTTAATTAGTGAAATTAACAAACTATTCTGAGTTGTAAGTTTTTTTCTTACTTTGACAGAAATGCACTGTAAACACATGTTTACATAATGACAACTGAAAATGACAGCCTGAGATTTTATCACTGAATGGCATTGAAATTGATGATATGTTAATTTGAAAGTTACTCTCAAACGATTCACTATGAATAAATCTGATAATTTAAAATAGGTAAAAATGCAAATTTTTTTACTTATTTAGAAAACTACACTATTTTGATTTTTCTTATTTCTTGTCTACTTAGAAAATGTTTAAGCAATGCTTTAAATTTCACCAAAAGAAGGCAAACAAAAATATCCAACTCACTGCTCCAATACCACATCAATAAAAATTACTTTAGGAAATAATAGGGTTAACTAAGAAATAAGCATGAAACACAAAGCATTTCATTCATTAGTGTGCTAATAAACAACAGATCAATTAAAATACAGTACTCAATGATTAATGAAATATCTTCCTACAAACACTTATAGTATGAATGTGTAAAGAATTTATTTCGTTGCAGATATAACCCCACAAAGATAAGCAAGAGTTCAAGAACCAGCTATTCAAAAATAAATTGTTAGCGATACCTTCAATTTAATATATAAATATAAAAATGAAAGAAAACTTAGCATTTCTAAAATCTTTTACAGCAGTTCTGGTTTTGTTATATGAAAAATGACATTAAAATTCTTATTTTTCTCTTCAAATATGCAACAACTAGTTTTGACAAAACAAACAACATATTTACAAGACTCTAAAAATTAAAATATGTTTATGAAAACAAAACTGGATAAAATGTACAGTATCACTCCCTTAAACACTTAGGACAATCTTCTAGTGCAAATGTAGAGAAGATGCTTCCTACAGTGACAGCATTTGTGATGCACATAGGAGTTGCAAGCCACACCAAAAATTTCAAATATTATACTCCAAACATCGTATATAGAATAGAACACTTGTTAAATATGTAATAAAATAAACAGATGAACACAATTTTATTCCTAAAGTTAAGATGCAATCGTCACACAAAACAAGGGCACTTTGTAACAACATAACCAAACTGCCGATTTGCATGGCTACATATTTGGCATTCGCCGCGTAGAAACCACTCACAAGACGTGTACAGTATTCTAATTTTCAATTTCAAAATATACACTTACGCACAATTACATAATTATCTTCTAAGCGATGTTTCCTTCTTAGTAAAAAACCACACACCCAGAAACTCACCGTAATATTAAGGGAGCCGCAGTTGGGTCTTCGAAAGTGCGGAAATATATTTCGCCTACAGTTATTCCAACAAAAACACATTTTAATATCACTGCACCATAGTGTAAAATAATATCGTTAATAACAGAAATAATTCACGCATTTTCTTCGAGAACAAAACAGCATTGTCAACAATAACAAAAAGAAACTTTCTTGACGTACTTTCCGTGGAAAATGTCATGCAGCACCATCTGACGATAAAATCTCTAAACTCATTTCAAAGTTGAACCAATCAACGTCGAATTTTCAGGCACGCCATTGCATTTTAGCTATGCCATGCTGTTTCCATGGCACGTGCATATCCTAGCAGAGCTACAAGCAATATTAGAAGTATTGTATCCCAGCTTATGACACTTCTGTCCTGTTTCTGTACATGGAGAATATTCTTACAAGTTTTGTAATCCGATCCTTTCCTTCTAATTTAGAACTATTTTTCGATAATTAAAATTCTAATTAATTTTCTGTGTCAGGTAGGGTGCCAACAATTGCTTTCGTTTCTTCATTGATATTTGTTTTGACGGTTGTTTTGTAAAGGCATCCTCAAAGTCAGTAGACCTATCAGAAAATTTTGAAATTACAATCGCCCCCCCCCCAAAAAAAATAATTAATACCATTGACTGCATATGAAAGAATAACATGGGTTTTCTGTAGTGTATGGCAGTTTTCAAATACTTTCAGTTTTAAAAATATTTGAACTCCTTAAAAAATGTATGCCAAGGTAAATAAAAAAAGTGGATAAAGAAACTGTTTTTCTCACTAAAGATTGATTAAACATCCCTTAAGTTTTTAATATACTAAAAATAGATGAAATTTTTGCTTTTAGAGGTACATACATAGAAGATGTAAAAATAACCTTTATATATCAATTTAAGCAATTATAAAAGATTTGCTAAATTTTTGGATGATCTTTTAACTTATTTATTTATTTACTTTTTCTTAAATATCTTGTACCATTGTTACTTATGTCTAGCAAAAATGGTATGTAAATTATTTTGAATCTGAGTGATTTCAAAATACTGAGATTATGTATTCTCTTTTTCCTATCCTGTTTCAGATACCAATAAATTTGTTGACATTATTACAAATTAACAAATAAAAAAATACATTTTACAACTTTATTTGTATTTTATGTCAATTCCACTATGGCTGTTTGAAACTTTTCTATAAATATTTAAAGTACCAAAATAATTGTTTGTTTTTCTTTTTACATATCTTGAATAAGATTTAACATGATGTGGGGAATAACTGTAAACACAAGATATTGACAATACATTTTCAACACTAACAAAAGTTGTTTAATAACTTTCTTGCATACATTATAAATAAATATAAATTAACAAATTGAAATTTTATACATTTATTTTGGGTAGCACAGAATTATTTGTTCCAACCTACTATTCCAGTTTGGGAACCACAATGGTGAATGATGAGATATGTTCACTGCACCACACAATGTGAGAAAAGTCTGTAATGTTTCACAGTAAAAGTAACTAATTATTTATGTATTTCTTTCTTTCAAATTAACAGATGATTTGTCCATTGTTTTACAAAATAACAAACACAAAGAAGTAACTCACATGATACTATTATGAATTAAAATTTGTATTACGAAAACCTGTATATAAGTTACAAAAATGTTACAAAAAATTTCATTAAAAAAAAAACAAAAAACAAACAAACAAACAAAACAACAACAAACAACAACAGAGTTTTTTATGATTCATATAATTTGATTTTTGCCTCATTTGTTGATTTACACAATCAGTTACAACAGGGTTGTTAGCAATATAACACAGTCTGTAAAATTTAACAACGATTTCAGTACTTGTTGAATTGAAGTGGTTTTTTTAAATACATTTTCACTGAATAGGGGTAGGCAATCAATATTACCCACATTCTTCTCCTAATAAATCAAATCTGTCAAATATCGGTGAAATTTTAAAGGTACCGCAATGCAATGTTTAGCTATGTGATCAATCAAGCCACAATACAATGTTGAGTATATGCATACATATATAAGTATATGATACATCAATGCAGTGTCAATCTGGTGACATACAATGAGAAGCAATCCTGAAAAATTTGTGTTGGACAGTCTCTAGTTTGGACACGATTCACAAAAAAGGAAGAGCAAACTACTAACGAGTATGGTATATCAGCACGGGTTACACATCAATTGATCTAGATCTAAAATCAAAATTGAAAAAGGAAAGAAAAAAAAAAGAATAAATTAAGATGGACATTTTCCAAATACCATTATGCCACAGCATTGAGAACATGTTGCAAATGATCTCTATCTGAATGAGGTTTGATTTTCAGTAAGATTTTCACATTAACTACAAAAAGTAGATACTCCATTTCATTAAAAATGGGATCAAAATTATTAACTAGATACAATAATTAACATTCAGAAATAATAATCATAAAATCATTAAGTTCAATCATTAAAATTAATTAGATCAACAAACATTACAAAGAGAAACTCCCAGAACGTGGCATTTTATAGTAAAATTGTTTCAAGACAGTAAACTCTTAACAATCATCGGGAAGACAGTATCTCTAAATTTTATGAATCCCTGACCTAAAGAAAAATTCTCACACCTGCTCATACATAATAACTCTAACAATACTTCTTGAAACTACCATCCTTGGTCTGACAATTCAAGAAAAAAACCTTAAAGAGGTATGCTAATATCTCAGATCTTAACTTGAAGTTCAAAAAATTTTGCTATATCCTTTAGCTCTATACCCTAAAGTCAAGCTCCAACATTGAGACACTTTGTACAGAGTATTTTGCAAAAGTATACACATGCCTAAAATATGGAATAATATTATGGGAAAATGTCTCTGAAAGCTGCCACACATTGATTATCCAAAAAAGAATACTGTGAACAATGGCCAGCACTTGTGAGATGGAATTTTGCAAACCCTTGTTCAAAAAACTAAGCGATGTTCCTCTACCACACTTGTATATTTAGTAGTGATCTTCACAAAGAAGATTCTCAAGGAAAATAAAGGCACTTTTACTCTAATTTCTCATATACCCAACTATAATATTTTTCAAAAGGATCCATGTTTCCCTCTGAAACTATACTCTATCCAAAAATGGAAGAGGGCATTAAAATTCACAACAAACTGGACCATGATATCAAAAATAATCAAAATTCATCATGGAGAATTTGTTTGGGTTGAGTCACTAACAAAAAGATAGTTGAGGAGACAAATGCTGTTTATGACAATAGATAATCAAATTAAAAAATAATCAAGGATATTTTCCAGTATATCTAACTGCTGCATACTGGAGGATTTGAACAATGTTTTTGTCTAACAAATTCAAACAACTTTTTTGGTTTATTTTGGTGTCATTCTCCATTAGTTCTATCTGTGCTAGAACTAGGTTTTAACAGACTGGGCAGCAGAGGTTTTAACAGACTGGGTTCAGAGCCCTAACATGTCAGGGGTCTGAAAATGAGACATACAGAAAAATGTTTAATTAAAGATGATAAAAATAAGAATTCTTAAAATTTTTTTAGAATTATTATTTTATAATCAGTAACAAGTAGTTCATTATTCTTTAAAATGTAATTGCTTTTAATGGAACCTCATTTTCTGTTTTGCCTGGGCAAGTTGTGTGGCACTGTGTACTGTACTTGCCATTATGATGAAAATTCTTATCTCTCAGTATTTGCTTGATGTGCTATACACATTGGGCTAGGTTCAAGATTGCTGAGCATTTACCACTGGTTCTAGAAGAGAAGAAGTTTTTGAGATCAATGCTATAGCAACAGACTGAGACTGAGCTGCAATAGCAGTTGCATGTAACTGAAGTACATATTTTCTTGTTTGATTACCTTTCAACGATTTTCCAACCTTTCAATAATGTCAAGAAAACATTTATTGAAAAATTGAATATCTTTATAATTTGTATCCAAGTGTTTCACAGAACAATGGAATATCTGACATTCATTTTTCCTTATTACAGATTTTCTGAAGAACGTCGTTTGTGAAAATAGAATTGTGTCTTTTTGGCACAATATTGCAGGATATGCAATAATGTACCGAAGTATGCAATTCTAATAGAAACATATAGTACTTATATTCAACATACTAGATTAATAGATTAGATAAGTATATTATATTCAATTGTTACCATGACAATAATTCTAGAGAAGTTAATATAAAAAATGTATCAGGTTCATGGCTATATTTTAAATGAAAGGTAATAAAAAGTAAATTATTTGAAGAAATGGAGGCAGAACTCCCTCTCCTGCCCCTCTTGCCTATGCTCATGCTGTTGTCAAACTTTTAATTACAAACTTTTATTACAAAACTCTGTGTCATTACTGTCATAACTATACATATTCTATTTATTAGGCATTATTATTATTTTTTTTTAAAGGAAGATGTTTTCATTTAGAAATTTTTATTAATTTACTTCTCCCATTTTTTAAGTTTCTTCATTTTTGTATATTATGGAAAATCATAAATTTTTATCTTCTTAAAAAAATTTATATATGATTTATCAATAAATGATTTTTAAATTATGATTGATGGGTAGAAGTTATAAGTAACAACATTTTTAAGTTACAAACCACAGCACATTATTCTAACTCTCACAGAACAATGTCACAATTGTTACAGCATAACTGATCATACATTGCAGACGGAATGAGACATTGAATTCCAAAGAGAGGCAACCTCAGTCAGGATGATACATTAAAAATAACCAATACAAAATTACTTTCATACATTAAGGCACTCTGATGGCTAGCAATTGAACGCTAACAAATTTTAAAGAGTTTATATCTTCAATAATAAAACCCTTCCATTCTATTTCACTGTTACTGCCATATGCATGTTGCTGGGTTACATACAATAACCATACTGTACATCATCTAATTTTGAAGGCAATCAAAATTCCAAGTTAATTTTTTTTATTAAAAGTATTGAAAATGTCTTTTCAAGACAGACAGTGAGTATTTATCTATTTTTAATGAATAAATTATCAATCTATGTATTGAATAAGCCAATTACTTTTGCAGGATACGCTTTCATATTTTGTTATTTAAAAATTGAATTTTTATTCTAAAAGAAAAAAAGAATTTCAATCAAATAGAAAATAATTTCTTTACTATCTTTTGCACAGAAACAAACAAACAAACAAACAAACAAACAAAACAAACAAACAACATTTTAGGTCTATACTTACACATCAAATTAATAACTTTTAATAATTTCATATGATTACTACAATTAGAAGCAAAGAAGGATAGATTTTGAGGAATATTACCCTTGATTATTTTATGTTATGTACATTTAGATATATGACATTCTTTGTAATTTAATTATGAACTGAAATAACAACATTTCACCAGTATTCACCATAAAGGAAAATTTTGTGAAATACTTATTTGCATGTAACTTCTAGTTTTGAAATTAAACCAAGAAATTGTTTCTTTTTATCTACATTTTGTGACTACTAGTTTCGAATACAATCTTAAGTTAACCAGATTAGCCAACAACCCATCAACATAATTTAGTATTTAAAAAGTTTTATAGATGTTTGGATTGTATGGTAGTGAAAACGTATAACTGTGGTAGTATAAATTGTATCACCCAGTTAATCTCATTATTTTTATTTGCAAAGCTTATTTTTTCAGTGAAGCAACCTCACCACATATTTTTCTAATGGAAGAAAATATAGACTTTGCTTTAATGTTTCTTTGAATGTTATTTCTTTAGAACAATGCATGCATACATAATGTTTTTATTTCAGAGATAATTACAGCCCTCCATTGCAAAGGTTATATGGACCAAGAATATCATCACCAAGAAGAGACGTTTCTAGATCTTTGTAAGTGGATGAAGTAAGAAAGGAAACAAGCAAAAAAAAAATTGAAAAATATTCTGTACACAAAATTCTGTAATTCTCAAGAGATTTAACAGAATTTTTTTAGCGTTAGATCAGGGATGCTAGTTTTGGGAACTAAAGAACTAACGAAAATTACAGGATTAGGAATGTAAAGAAGTTACTACTTTCAAGTAAGCTCATATTTGGCGGTAATATAAAAAATAAACAAAACAAAAGATGAAGTACTATAATGAAAAGTACAGGACTATTGAGAAAATAAAGTGAATCATACCAAACATTAATTACATAGTATCAGAAATCATTCCAACTTAAAAAATTTACTGCAGCCACGGCACAAAGAGAAAGCTGTTGATGTGGCCACTCACATGAGCAATATTTGCAAATAATAAATATTGTTTTTAATATTGTTAATAAATATTTTTAAAAAATTTCGATGCTGATAAGATAGGTACATCACAGCTGCTTTTTGACTGCCTCAAAGCCCCCATCCCCACCATTAGCCTCTGGATCTGCTACTGCTCTCGTGGAAGGCTCCAGCACCCACTGGGGGGATGGGGGTGCAGGGTAATGATGCAGGGTCTGTGATGTAGAGAAACCAAAATAAACTTTTGAGTGATTTGAGGGGGAATAAAATAGGTTAAGAATATCTGACTAAAATTCACTTAAGATACTATAAGCTCCTATTTCATTTAAATTAGTTTTACACACAACACTTGAACTAGTGGTGCCAAAACAGCACAGACTTTCTCACATTTTCGTAACTTTTGCAATTTTTGAAAATCCGGAGAGGATAACAAAAGTGAGACCTGACCCATTTTTTGTGCTTTGTTCAATAAGAGGGGAAAATTAAAGAAAAATATGTTTTAATTTTTAAAAATTCAGATAATTTCCCACAAATAGGATCTGCATTATTTTCTTAAGTGTACTATGCTCACATTAAGAGAAAAATATATATTAAAGAAAAAATGAAGAATATAGCAAATTTTTGAGAAAAAAATTGTTTAAAAATTACCTATATTACTTCGCAAAATTGTGTGAAAACTACTCATATTTTTGAAAAATTGTACATAACCTTATTTGAAGATCTGTCTTTGAAAAAGTGATCTTAGTAACGAAAAATATATATCTTCATTTATGTTGTTGTAGGAAGGCTGCAAAAAAATTGAACTTCACTATTTTGGAAAATTGTAAGAGTTTAACAATGACATGATCTGCACCATATTTTAAAGTGTCCCTCTTTTCTGATAGGAAAAAGTATTTTTACAAGAAGTTTAAAGAAAAACTTTTGAACTTTTTTTGAGAAAATTTTGGAAACTTCCCAGGTTCTTCAAGTAAAGTACCTCCAAAATTTAAATATTTTTGTTCCAAATCGAAGGGCTTTGAGCCAATTTGTATTGACTAAGCATACTTATTTTCACAATATTCTTAATAGTAGTTTAGGTTCTAGTGTTGTTCAGAGAAAGGTAGACAGACAGACAAAAGAGAGCCACGTGACACTCTATAGCATCACTTGTTTATTTCTAAAAGATTGAACGCCTTAACTAGTGTAAAGTTCTTCAGAGTTTGTGAACCCTACCTTCATAAGATTTTTCATCCCATCCCAGAGAAATCTATGGCAGTCAGCGGCAGGTCCTAAAAGTATTGTGGAAAGAAAGTTCAGTTCTGACTCACCTCTCATAAACATTATTTTTGAAATAATAAACAAGTTTTAAAATCAACTTTACTCATTTAATAACATGTGTTTACAGCTCATCTAAAAGTAATGCAACAATGGGTAAAGATCCAAAGAAAATTGAAAACATTTATAACAGAGGTGCAATCCTACTACACAATGGAAATAATTTGGAAGCACCTACTGAACATTCAATAAGGAGGTAATATTTCTTGAAGGATCAATTATTAGAGTTTTAAAATATGTATTTACGCATTTAAATTGATCATCAATTAATGTATTTGAATTTGTAATTTTTAATTTTCAACACTACATCATTTTTGGTAGTTTTATTCCTTCATTTTCACTGATTTGAAATTTTAGGCTTCAAAATAAACTGAAATACCTTAAATTTATTTGAAGTTGAATTGTACATTGCAATATTTTTGAAATGATTAAACATAGAAACATGTCAAGAACAAAAATATTATGCTTAAGATGAATTATGATTATTCAGCTTTTTTGTTTTTGTTATAACTCTAAAATGAAAAGAGAAAGGTGTACTCATTGGGAAAAATTGCACTTTCTGTTAAAATACTCTTGAATATTATTTTCAAGAAAGTTGGTGCAATAATGCAGGCCTAAATATATGCTTTGCCCTTGGCTTCAGGATCAAGCTTCCTGTGGAATTTTCACCCATGTCTTCTAGTACGGATGATTCTGAAAATTTCAAAAAATGTTTATCGAAGTATGGAGTACATGAAGAACAAACAAGTCTAAGATTTGATTTTGGCGATGCATCCAACAGGTTAAAGAAACAGCTGACGACAAGTTTGTAAATAATTCTAGTTGAATATTTTTGAAAATAAGTTGTCCTAATTTTTCATTGAAATGCACAGGAATAGCTTACAAGAAGTGTAGTTTAATTTACTTCTGGTATTAACACAGTTCTAGTAAAATAAAATCTCAACCAAAAAAGTCATCACCTGAAAATATTGCTACATTATTTTTCTTTTTGCAATTTTTTGTACTTCATCACCTAATCATACATCCCATTCATAATAAAAATGTTCAAGCTCTGTAAGATATAATAAAATCAATATCAAATATAGGTATTTTCAAGGACTCATGAAATGTGTGAATGGCATTGTAGAAGACATGCTATTGAGATTACAGGAATTTTGTTATTTTATTGTATATTTGAATTTTCAGAGTTGAATTACCCCCTACTCTGGCACCTATATCTCCAGAAAACAGTGATCCTTCAAATTTTCAAAGGTGTTTAGAGAAATATGGTGTTCAAGAAGAAGCACAGAGGTGAATTTCTTTTACTTTCTAACATTAACATATTTCGAAGTCTAATTCACAAGGTTGCAAGGTAAATAAAGCAACGTAAATAATTCGCAGGCTGAAGAGATTGTACTCTTATTTGTAACTTGTTAGGAGAACAGTTTTCTTTTCTAGATAGAACAAGAAAGAAAAGAAAGGAAACATTGTATGTGCCAACAGGAAAATATTGATTTTTTAAAATCCAAGTTATACAATATACTTACATAATTTGAATCAAACCTTGAAGAGTACAATAAATTCTTCAGTCTATAAGTTTATTAAGACTTATAATAAACTTATAATACTAAGATATTTCCTGACCTTTGAATAATAAATATTTATTGGATTTAGTTAGACATTAAATTCATTATGTTAATTTATTCTTGAAAACATACTGAACGTTACAATGGAATGAGCCTACATGTTAATTGTATTGAATAAACTAATGTTACAAATAAAGAAATCAATATTAAAAAAAAAAAAAAAAGAATAAGAGAATCATGAAAAGTTTACATTGCCCTCCCTTCTGGATCTGCCTCTGTGTCTTGAGTAGAAAACATTTTAAAGCAACTTTCAAACCATTTACTTATTGAAAACCTTTTTAGAAGTTATCTTTAAAAACTAGAATTGCAACAGAACAAATGTGAATTCCACTGGAAAACTTAATGTACAATAGGACAAAGAACATAAAAACAAAATTTAGATGAATTTTTACAGTTTTAAGTTCATCATTACTGTGCTCTGAACTGCTGAATGTATTTGGGAATAAATGTTGAAAGATGACCGATATGAATATTGCTTTAAACATGAATAATGCAGATGAACTAGATTTCTTTATCATATTAGACTTATTCCATAAAGCACTTACTTTATGATTGTAATTCCCGTAAGTATTTACTTTAACGTCTTAATTAGAATAAAATTGAATTCTTTCTGTACTGTTTTAAACAACCCCCTCACTGCACTCATTGTCTACAGTTGAGAGCAGTAGCTGCTTGATTTCAAACTATTTGTAAGGCTGTGCAAGGACTTGAAAAGAGCCGAGAACTCCCTTCTTTGGCTTTATTGGAACCAGTGGTCTTCACTGCCATGAACAATGCTTCTATGGCAATTGAAATTTGATCATTACTGTTTCAATGCAAATTGACATTAAACCTCTGTACAAATAATTGCATCTATGAAATACCCACACATCTTTTGAACCCAATTCATAGTTTTTCAATGATGTTGGGTAATCTCTACCCTTGGGGATCTGGTTATCGTCTAGGGAAGCAGGTTGATCTGCAGGACCCTGCAGAGCGATCTGAATGTCATTCGGTGTTCCTTAACCCCTTCCCAGGTCTTTGGAAAGGATATTATACGACATAAAATAACAATTATTTCACGGCCCCCAACGTTTCGCTGTACTCCACTGGCAGTCGGCGGTTTGCTATCGCATACGTTTTACTATTGTGGCGTCTGGAATGCATTTTGGATTTAATCATCGCATCTATCTATACACACGCCTGCCCCCCCGCACGCACGCACGCACGCACCCCCACACAATATTTCTTTCGTTTGTTATGCAATTCAAGAAAATTGGGTTGCTATAAATACTCATGAGGAAAGTATTGAACAAATGAAACATACTCTATCGGCCTATTATACGCTAGCCAAATATGACAGTAACGAATTTGTGAATATATGAATTTGTACGATTTATACGACGCCATTGACACAAAACTTCGCAAAACAGTGGGGGTTGGTGCCCCGCCCCCTCTCCACTAGGGGATGCAGCTCCATCGAACGAAAGGAATTTAATTCCCAGAATTCAAACACACATACATAATAAATCTCAAGCAACTCATATAAATTCATTAAAACAAAGTTCAATAAACATTAATTTAATAATTTAACTTAAATAATTTTATGCGTACATTCTATGGCAGATCCTTAACACGTAGATCTAGCTCTGATTTACAGTAAACTCTTGAGTTTTTGTATTAGTTCGGCATAGAAATAAACTGTGGGTAATAGAATTCATTCAAAACGAAAGCGGTGTAGCATTTCAAAATACGATGATCACTCACCAGCACTTCACAAAAAGCACTATTTGGACACATTTTACACTTGTTAATTTCAAGATTTTTTGTTATTGATGCTGCAGTTGATGTAAAAGAAATAAATGTATTTTATCGTAGAATTTTCTGCAGGCACCATGAGTTCCTGTGATCATTGTAAGCCACTGCCCGAAAATGAAGGGTCTATTTCGATTGATCTTTTCTGAACTGGGCATTTTATATCATTTTATCCACTTCATTTTTTAATATTGATGATCTTCTGTTGTTTGACGATTGAGTTGAGATTCACTTAATACACTTAAACGGTTAATTTTTTCTCTCATTCAACAACCCAAAACGACAATTACTAGGAGAAAAAAAGTTTTTCAATTTCAAACGAGGCTAACCACTCTGAAAATTTATGCCAAACGGAAAAAAACACGTTCTTCGGTATTTTCGTTAGTTTATGTTCTCTTGGTTTATAGTAATGAAGTTTTTGTTAAAACGGTTTTTAGCTTACATTAACGGTATTACAATAACGGTACTATCATGTATGTTGG